CTGTTTCAGGTGCTTCGAAGGGCCTCCTATCTGCGTCATACACAGAGAATTGCGTCACTGCACCATATAGGTAGGGGGTCCTTAAAAACTTAAAAGAAAACGAATTCTATTATCACATATACTTAAAGATTCTAAAGTTAAAAGTAAACTGGAGTCAAATCAAGGCTATTCCTCAACTACATTAATATTAACAATCGTGTAAAAAAGGGGTTTAACACAAAATCAAAACATATCAAAATTAAAATAAGAATTTATAGTAGTACAAATTCTAAAAATAAAAATGAAAAGCAAAAGGGGAAAAAAATACAAGATAAAACTATAAAAATAATAATTAATCTTCTTTTATTGAAATTCTAATTCCGAACTCATCAAGGGAAAATGAATTAAATCTTCTATATATATGTAATGGAATCTGTCTTTTAAGTTTAAACATGTAAATGTAGTTCAGCAGGACATTTAAGGTTCCCCTAAGCCTTCGGGCCCCTATGCGACGGCATTCCTTGCATACCCTTATTTACGCCACTGGTTTTGTTTGTTCCAAATGTGTTACAATCTGGAGGAAACAAAATACATGTAATAAGATCAAAACAAGTGTGAAAAGCATTAGCACAAAGATGGTGGAATCCTAGTACACAAGGACAGCATTCTAAAAGAACACACTAACAAATTTTTCCCAGAACAGCTATGAATGCTGAAATATACAGAGATGAGATTCTTGATCCTTATGTCAAGTTGTTTGGTGGTAAAACTGGTAATAATTTTCTTAATGAATGATAATGACAATGCCCACTGCACTGCTCTAGTGCCACAGTTTTTAGCCAATTTGTAAAAAAAGCAAAACTTAAAAAAAAAAAAAAAAAAAAAAAAAGTATTTTTGCAAATAAGATTTAAAAACTACAGCAATTTTCTTACAAAGACTGAAAAATTTATGAAAGTGTGCAGATATCAATTAATGTCACCAGAATCTCCAGTCCGATAAAAAAATTGTTTCAACAGTTAATCATCACCATGAACATTACATTTTTTTTTATTGGTTATTTCATCTCCAATGGTTCTAGATAGTCCCCATTCTTCCTAGCAGGTCTGGAGATAGGGGAGCTCAGCTCTTCGCAGATATATCTGGCCTTCTCCAGATTTGTTCTAACACCAACAGATTTTTAACAAAACATCCTTCCATTTTCTTTTTCTTTTCTTTTCTTTTTTTTTTTTTTTTAAGAGTTTTGTGTCTTTTGTTCATATTATTAAAGAATACCTGAATGTGACCTACATAAAATTCAACCTTTGGCTTTTCTGAAGGTCATGTTTTCATCATGGTCAAAAAATGGTTGCAAAGTTAAGAACTACTTTTCAATAAAAACAAACAGTATTTCTGTTGATAATATCCACTGGCTTTCAAAAATTAGGTATCAAATTAAATAAAAAACTGCAATAAATCCACTAATACTTTGAAAAAGAAATAAATTATGCAAAAGAATGCCACTGTCATTGCTTTACGTAAGTATGATGCAGAGTAAAACCAGCTGTTTAGGAGGGAATCACTATTCAGCAAAAGACGGTATTTTAAAAAGTTTCAAAATAGGCCAAAGGTAAAAATGAGTTCAGCAGAATTGCAATATAGAGCCATATGTTAATTAGAAATATGTCAAAAAGTCTGATGTGGTAAGATAGCTAAATATTGACTTTCTAAGGTAAGCTGGTTGTCTAGATAATTTCTAACTATTGCTAAGATCTTGAAGACCTACTGAAGATAGGCTAAGAGTTACCACTTCTGAAGATGACCAGTATTTGCAACTTAGTGCACATCACAATAGGACTGAGCTCATCTTACCTTAGACCTGCATTTTTTTCTACTACAGGAAGTACAGTATCAGCCATGAAAGTATGCAGATGATTCCATGAAAAAGGTCTATATGCTAATGACTGGCAATGGGTGTCCCACTTAACTTGTGCCATCAGAGGAAGTGTTTGAATTGGGCACATAGTCATGCAAATTGGTCTAAAAATCAGTGCTGGTCTCCTCTGTTTACTGAAGAGTCCCACTTTGCTTTACAGAGTGACTTTTGATGTGTCTACATATGGAGAGAAGCAAAAACTCAGTACCTTCTTGTCTAACATATGAGAAAGGGATAATTATGCATGAGGTTATGCAGCATGGGAAGGAGTATAGGTGGGTGCACAGACCTGCATGTACGGCCACATAGAACTCTCGATGCTCAGATGTACAGAGATAATGTATTAGATCTTATTGTTCATCCATATGCTGCAATAATTGGCGGTACTATCATTTTAAAAGCAGATAGTGCCCGCCCTTACACTGCTCACCTAATGCACTGGTTTCTTGAAGAAGAAATTACCATCCATGTGGAATAACCAGCAAGCTCTCCCAACCTTCAAATTCCATACATGCATTAAGCATGTATGGAAAGCTCTTGGGAAGCATGTTTCTGGACTCCAACTCTCCTCCAAAAATTTTAGATGGGCTTACAACTGGATTATGCAGTCAAAGGACATTGCTACACATACAGCTCATCGATAACATCATAAACAGCATAAGACTTCATTGTCAGACCTGTATTGCAGTTCGGAGAGATCACACTCACTATTCAGAAATTATTTAGATCTTAATTTGCAAGTCCAGATTTAGGAGATTTTATGTTCCTGTTGATGTCACAAAATGTAAATACTCTATACAACACTTTCTTGTAATTTTAATTTACAAGTGGTATAATAAATATTATGACCACGTTTGGTCCAATTTGCTTGCAGATTTCTTTATTTATTATCAGTTTTATAGCTTGTCTTTTGGAAGTCGGTGTATTTTGAAAGGTTGAGCAAACAATCAATCAGACACCTTGAAACTTTTGATTCAGATGGTAGATTGTTCCTCAATTTTTACAATACTAGTTTGCAATGGCTCTGTAACAAGCCATATGGAACAAGCCATATGTGTATGTTCATTTGAAATGTTAATTCACATTAAGAACTAAGAACATTAAGAACTAATGTGAACTAGAGGATGAAAAATCTAGCTTAGTAAAATTAAGAACCATTTGCAAATTCTAGCCAAAGTTAAGGAGTTTTAAGAATCAAAAATCATTTTACAAAAACCTAAGCACTTTCAAGAACCATAAGAAACCTGTTAACTAAATTAAAGTAATAAATCCAGTTCTTCATATCATTAATTACTAGCTGGTTCTGTAAAATTTCACTAACTAATTTATTAAAACCATTGCATATTTGTCCTCTTCATAATCATAATTTTAGATGTCTAGTTAACAAAAATAACCAGAGCCAGATTTATACTTAATAAGGCCCTAAGCTATTTGAGATATGGGGTCTTAATTTAGAAGTCAGACCCTTTTAAGTCAGTTATACTATATTTTCTTTCTCCTACTTTCTTGGGGGCACTATGCTATAGCCAAAAAATTAAGAGAAAAAAATCTATTGTGTACACCACATAACTTCAATGTATGGCCTTTTAAACTATACACAGTTTTTGCTGCATTTCATTTAAACTTATTTCATTGAATTTCATTAAAGATAAAATTTTCATTCAATTAATTCAGCTCTCGCTTCGCAGCAAGGCAAAAATACATAAAAACTCAAAACATCATCTTAAAAAAATTGTAAAATATAAAAAACATAAAACACTAAATACAGTTTAAAAAAAAAATTACAATTTAGAGTTTCTACACAAAAACAAGCAATTCGGCCAACGGGCACAAAGGCAGATTTTTTGGTGCACAAAACTGAATGTTTACAACTCGGCAAAAATGCAGAAACTGAATTCGCAATTCTACTAAACAGTTTCAAATGTAAGCAAATGACATCCACATTAGGCTTCGTAGCACTTAAACAACTTTTAAATTGTCATTAATTCTACAATTACAGTCAAAAGTCTTTAATCCGGACTCGTCGGGACTTCGGCGATTCCGGATTATCGATTTTTCTGGATTATAGATCATCAGTTTAAATCTGGTAAGATGGCATGCAGAAATTATAAAATTAAAAATATGAAACCGTAATTTATAAAAATAATGAGCAATTATGATCTAAAGGGTATCAAAAATTTACCAAAAAAGAAGCCTAATATTTATTTGTTTACTTTATTAAACATTTTTTTTTCAACGCCCGGATGCGTAAAGCATACCTTACGCATAGCCGAAATTAGAAAATTGCAACCAGAAAACTATTTGATTTGTATTCGTGATATTTATAATGACGAGGAATTTGATTTAAATCATATCAAAGACGGAGTACATCGAAATTAAATACTACATTTAGTAAGGAATTATAAGCACAATAAAATAAAAACATCTGCCCTGAAGATAACGATAGTGTTGACAGATCAACTTCCAGTTCATTGCGCGCCGTACATAATAGCTGCACTGCTTGCTGTATAAAATATAAATAGACATATGCAAGCTGTTTAAAACTGTGGAGTGCATAGTGCACACATAATGATATGTGAACCTATTTATTTAATCATGAAATTAAATGTTTAAATCAACAGCCACATCTAAAAGCTTTTCTTCTCTATTCTCTCATTTTAAGTAGCTATGTATCTATTTTTTTAATCCTAAAGTCATTTATAGAATTATTATATATACATTTGGAAAACTATTTTAAAAAATAAAACTAGTCACAAAATATGACACCATTATTAAAACTGAAGGTAAGCACACACAGAAAAAAGATAAAACAATAGATTATTTGGATTCTACAATATAATCTATGAAAACTAATGTAAACTTTGAAATGCTGGATTATTACAAAAATTATATTTTAGTGACACTAAATATTCAATTTAAATTAATAATCATTTATATTAATAGCAAATGACAGATTTTTATTGATTAGTACTAGAAATCAATATAGACTGTAATTTTAATGCAGAGAAAGAAGAAATTTTTCTTTATCAGCCTCTTATGCACAAAACAAGAAACAAAATTAAAACATGTATCTGTTAAATTTTTATTATTAATAAACAAAGATTATACCTGGCATAATTACATCCGAAAATCCAAGTTTATGAGTTACAGATATATTTTTGAATAGCAAAGGGCTTTCCTGCTGAAGTTGAGCTAATTCTCCATTTAGAAGCCGAAGAGATAACATTAAACCTAGGTAAAACATAATAAAAATTTAAAACCTACAGACAGGCATATTCAATAGTAGTAACTTTTTTACTTATCTTTTACATTTACTTACATTTATAAACTAAAATTTCCAATTTAACTATATGTTACCCTACATACATATGATCACATAGATAAATCACTTATCATTGTATAATGAATTATTACAAAAAGTAAGTTTTTAATTGAAAATGCTTGAACAAAAAGAATATCACAAAACATGCAGTAGTAATAGCTCGCATAAGACATATATACAAATGGAATAAACTTTAAAAAAATTAATGACTGGTTTTTGCCCAACCAAGCCAATAAACAGATATACAAGTACAGAAAGAGAAGTGAATAAAACACTATAATGCAAATTTTATCATCTCCATAAAAACATGTGTTACAAGCTGTTGATAATTCAAAATAAGATGCATTCGGTTGGTTACGGTAAAAATTTTGGTTATGATTTTGCAGATTATACTGCTTATTTGCTTGAAACCGTGAATAGCAGTTATAAAAATGCTTTCATGACATCATTTTAGTGAGTGTGCTCATGAATAAACAATTGTATGGCCTTGAAGATGGGCAAGTTGAAACAGTGGATATCATTAAGCGTAGCATGATGCAGTTGAAAAAGATTGCAAATCTAAGAAACAGTTCTGTGTAATGAATTAGAAGAGAAACTGCCTAGAAGTTGAATATGTTTTATAGCTTTTGATGGAGCTACAAATCATATTCAACTTCTAGACATAGACTTTCAACTTAGTAAACGGTTTTGATGGAGCTTGGCATACAAAAGATGTTAACAGCTGTGCCGATTTCACATTTCTTTATTCTTGTCACGCATATTACTGACTTGAATAGCACACACCCATTTTGATCACATTTGTGCATCTTCACTGCAGTTAATTTTGACAGTGCAGCAGCCAAGAGCAAGAGATTGGCAGGACCGAAGCAAGAGAGAGGGAATGTGAGGTATCTGAGCTGAAAATCTGAAGCAGACTGATTCGATTTTATCTCAGCTCTATCCCTACAGGTTATTTCTAAATTTTGGCTCCCAAATTTAAAATCAGTATTGCCTGAAGCATTTTGCCAGTATCATGCGAACAAGATTAATTCTGAAATGATACAGTTTAAAAACAATTTACTTAGCTGTTATTATTTTTAGGACAGAAAGGAAAATATCCAAATTAAAAAGGACAGCCAAGGGACTATTGAAAATTAAAGATAAAATTTTGATTTATACATTTCTTATCTTACATGCACAAAGTGGTGGTCATTAAAATAACACAACACAATATTTCTGCAAAAATGAATAAACATTGCATATACTGTTGCAGAGTGCTACAGATCTGTGTGTTCAAACCATCTGTCATTCAGTGAATTATATTGAAATACACACAAGAAAACACAATTTAAGTGTATTCTACTCTCTTCAACACAGATTTAAGTGATGAAGGGATCACTGCCCCTGGGACCATTGGAAATGGTTAATAATGATATTCTCAGATAAATCTTGATCTACAATTAAGAACACTTCCAGATTTAAAATGTTGTAGTGATAACTGTGAACACATAACCAAAAACAATCATCCACAAAACCAGACTATAGAAATGGCATATCTTTGCATGAGGATCCTTGTGGAAATAGAAGAGATAAGACATATTTTTGAACAATTATGCTAACATTTTCCATGAGCAGTGGGTCTCAACATTCTGTACATTGGTGACCATGCTCATTCTCACAGAAAGACAGTACAACTAAAACTACTGGAAAGTAAGAATACCATCCACATTCTCCATACTCAATCCAACCGAATTTGCTTCGGATAGTCTTTGTAGGCATGAAGTACAGGGAAAATACCACTAAAAAATAAGTAGGAAATTCAAAACGTTCTGCAGGAACAGTTGTAAAATATCTCAAAATTGCTTCTGAAGAGTCTTGTGAGATACAAGTGAATACGGGGAACAGATCTACAGAGTTATAGATCATTCCGGATAATGGACGTCCGGATTACGGACGTTGTACTGTATAAATGTATATTTTTTTATTAAAAGAAACTCAACAAGTTCCCCATGTACCACATAGTATCACATGGGGCTTACAGAAGTAAGTATGAAACACAATACAAAATAAACAAGAGAAAATTGAAATAAAATCAAGGATGATTACAAAGTTTTACAATGAATTGACAAAAAATGTTAAAAGCACTTCTCTCGGAAATAAATTGGTAAAACTCTGGAGGCCAGTTAATATTAAAATTTTTCAGTCCCAGTTTCAAGACTTTTCTTTCGCTCTCATATTTAGGACATAGAAGAAGCACATGTTCTACATTCTCCTCGCCGCCGAGGCCACAGTCACAGACAGACTCAGGACTCAAATCTGTTCAAATAACTTTTAAAATTCCCATGTCCAGTAAGAAACTGGGTTAATTTGTAATTTGTAAAGAAATGATGACACGACAATCTCATTTTAATAGAAGGGAAATATCTCCTAGTTAAACTCCCTTTACTTGAATTAATGAATTCGTGATTCTATGACTCCACAATGCTTTCATACATGCCCTTCTTATAGAAGGAATTAGGGATATTGACAAAAGTGTCAATTTCCCGCTTAGTCGCAGTCTTAGCAAGGAAATCGGCTCGTTCGTTCCCAACAACACCTGTATGACCACGAACAAATGAAAATGAAACCGAAATATTTTTATCCTTTAGATTCTTTTTTTTTTTTTTTTTTTTTTTTTTTTTTTGAATCTCGATAATGATATTATTAGAAGAAGAAGAAGAAATACATTTTAAGATCTCCAAGGATGAAAGGGAAATCAGTACAAATGAGATAGTCTGAAAACAGCACTGTTGTTAGAGACCCATTTGACAGCGACGTTTACGCACAAAAGTTCGGCTATGAAAACGGTACATTCATCTCTGATTTTAAATTGAAAGTGCTCAAATTCTAGACCATTTTTGAAGACAACAAATGCGAGACCAACCTTGCCATCAATTTTGCTGCCATCAGTATAGCAAGTTACAGGCGAATCACCCACAATTTTATTGCTAAACTGAATAAAATTAATAGCATTTCTTTCTGGAGGATGAGGGAGATCAGATAGAGGTAAAATACAATCATGCTGAGAGACAGTAGAAGCAGAAATATTTTCCTTATAAGCAATAGAATGAAGAATGGCAATGTCAATTGGAGGAAAGCCAGAAATTGCATAAACAGACTCATAGCTTACGGTACGATATCCACATATGACCCGCAGAAGTATCCGTCTTTGAACACGTCGTAAATATTTATAATTTATCTTCTTGAGCGATATACCCCAGGCTCTAGAGCCATACATAATGAAGGGTGCAATTCCTTGTTTATAGATGAGCGAATGAACGTTGTAATTAGTACCGTATGTGTTACGTGCAATACGACTTAATCCACGCTGTAATCTATCACATTTCTCTGATACATAAGTTAAGTGTTGTTTCCAAGAAAATTTACAGTCAAGAAAAACCCCAAATATTCTTTCATTTGCCACAGTCAAAGAGGTGCCAATCGAGAGATAACTGAAATGCATCATAACAGATGTTTCGCTTTTCAATAATCATAACCCTGGTTTTATCAGGATTAAAATCTAATTTAAAACCTTTTGACCAGTTGGAGGCGAAATTTAAAGTCTCTTGTGCCTGTAAAAAAAGTAGCAGAAAGGTCCCTACTCTGGAAGCAAAACAAAAACATCATCTGCAAAGGCTATAGTATCACAACAAGCAAGATTTTCCAGTTTTAATAGGAGATCATTAATAATAATATTCCAAAACGTAGGTCCTGAAACAGAACCTTGAGGGCAACCCCTTTCAAGGTGACGGATTGCAGAAGCCGAGCCCAATTGCAATTTGGCCGCCCGATCATTTAAAAAATCAGCAGCAAGTGAAAAAATATTCATTGGAATTTTTTTTTTGAGAAGATTGAGAATACAAGGCCACCCACGCATAGTCGAAGGCCCTTAATATCCAAAAAGACCAAAATAGTGTGCAAGTTTTTCTTTTTTCCTCTCTGAACAATATCATTCAAGCGTAAAAGAGCGTCTTCAGAACTTTTTTGAGGTGTAAAACCATACTGATTACCAGAAAGAAGGTCTCCATGACGGAGATACCAGCAAATTCTGTTAATAAAAAGTTTTTCCAAGCACTTACCCAAAACAGGAAGTAAGCTTATACATTTAAGGTTATCTAGTTGAGGAATCCTAGACTCATTTCCTTTAGGAATAAGAATTACTTGAGCATGTTTCCAAACACGTGGGAAAATGCCAACATTTAGGCAAACGTTAAAAAGTTTATGGAGAAATCGAGGAAACATTAAATGAAACTGTTTAATAATCTCATTCGAAATAGAATCAGGACCAGGTGATTTATTTGGTTCCAGCATAGAAATAACTGTATTAACTTCATCACAAGTAAAAATAGAATCTACAAAAGAAGAATAAGCAGTACGCGCAGCTTGACGGTATTCCTTATGCAAATCATCATCATTTTCCTCTAGATCTGAGGGGAAAGATTTCTGAAGCACAGCAGTAATTGTCTCTTCTAAAGAGTTGGTTGTCTCTCCAGTGGAAAGACAAATACCAGTTATTTCAATTTTTTTCATGAAATCTCTTTTAACTCCATACGTGTAAATCTTTTTCCATACATTGTGAACATCAATGGTCGAAAGAAATGTTTTCCAAGACTGAGATTTAGCATCGGCAAGCTTTAGATTGTAAACTTTTCTATATTCAAGATATTTACTTTTATAAAGTTCTCTAAGAGGCAGATTTTTACAAGGCTGAAATCTACGCCTAGAGGCATTAAGCCTCTTTCTCATACAAAAAATTTCGGCAGACCACCAAGGAACGTTGTGCTTACCATGATTCCTAACAGGTAAGAAAATTTAAGATGCCTGGAGAAGAACAGAACTAAAATTCTCAACAAGAGTATTTAGGCGAGAACCGTCAGTGCAGTCGTTAAGAATATCAATGAAACGGGTGATGCGAGAAGAACAAAATTTTTGAAAACGATCCCAATTTGCTTTCCCTGTTGAAGATTTTAAAAGGAACATTTGAGGTGTCTCGTAAGAACGTAGAGAGACAAAATTCAAATTCAATCATGTGATCAGAAAAGGGATTCTTTTCAGACAGCCGCCAACTCGAAACATCCTGGAGAAGATCTGAACCAATAACAGTAACATCAATATAACTAGAACCCTGAGTTGCCTGAAACATAGGTCCATAATCTTCATTAATAACAAATAGGTTGTTGGCAGAAATAAATTCACTCGGTTTATCTTCACGAGAGTCTGAATAGGGACTAAACCATAATTCAGATTTGCCATTAGAGTCCATACACCAAACCAGTCGATTAAGATTTTTGGACATAAAGACTTGACTAATTTTATGAAGGTCTAAGTCAATGTTTCTTGAGGGTTCAAAATAGTATGAAAAAAGAGTGAGCACAGTTGAGCCAACAGTAAATATCCAAGGGACCATATTATAATCCGTATTTTTATAATCAAGAAATGTTGATAGATCACGTGATCGAATAATGATTGCCGCCTTTACATTGTCAGAATTAGGATCACAATAAAGTCTATAAGTGCCAGGATATCCTGGAAGAAAATTCTTGTAATAATGAGGTTCCTGAACCAAAGCACAGTCAATATCATCAGCTTCCATATTTAAAATTAGCTGTTGTGTTCGCAGATTTGGATTTATGAAGATTTAACTGCACACACTTTAGAACGCGTCTAGCCAATCTAGCCATAATCAATTCGAGATTGAATGTTCTTCTCATAAATTCATGACTAGGACAGCATTCTGAAAAGGGTTTGTGATTAACATTCACTTTTTTATAGCTGTTATTTGTTTTATGATTGAAGCGGATGCAATTTATACAAGCTACAGCATTCCTATTCGAACAATCCCTTGCCTTGTGTTCTCCAGAACAGTTAAAACAGGCTGTTCGCTCACGACATTCATCAGCACACGATGGTTGTACCCAAGACACTTAAAACATCTATTGATGATAATAAAATCGTCAGTTTCACATACTCCAATTAATTTTCAACCTGGCTTGATTCAGAATATGTTTACGAACCATGGGGTGCGTTTCAATTACAACGTGCCTCGTGAACTGGAAGGTTTTTAAAGTAAATCGAACTCTACATATACTTCTGTTTTCATCAGATTCAACAACTTCGGGATCAAAGACGTGTTTATTTCCGGAGCCTTTTCATTAATCTCGGCTTGAAGTCGATTCCGATCATTTCCTGTCAAACACTTAACCAAGACTTTATCTTTTCCAATATTTTTTAACAGTAGTTAGTTAGGTGTATATAAGTATATACACCTAACTTAGCTTCTAATGGATTAATTTTTAGTTTAATAACTTTCTTAACATCATCAGAAGAGCAGTTTTCAGAGTCTACAATTAAACAACAATCCGAAGAAAGCAAGGATTTTTCATTATCCTTGTAACATCAGATGGTGCCACCACACTAGCATAACTAGGTCTTGAAATGGCGTCTTTCAAACTTTCCTTACTTTACTTTCAAACTTTCCTAATCCATAAATTTAACAGCTTTGATACGTTCAAAATTTTTATAAATAGAAGATTTCAACTCACCCAAAGCCTGCCTGGCCTCCTCGCGAACCTGTTGATTCATATTACATTTAGATTGAAGTGCTGATTCAATAATTTTACAGTGTTTTTCAAGAGCATCGTAAAACACGTCATCCTCCGTAGCAGCCATTACCGTGCATACAAATGGGACGTTCCGGGTCGATGAAATTCTCAATCATTCATTTCTTCAAAAATAATCATTATCTTGATACAAAAGGCACATTTTTCAAAACCGGAGCACAAAACAAATTATAAAAAAGCACTTTCAATAACATAGAACCAATATGCACAGAATAATAAAGACTTTTCATCACAGCACAAAACTGCCAACCAACACAGCTGCTGACATGCCTTCCTTATGCAAAATTATTATGCTTAACGTATGCTTATGCTTAAATGTATATTTCATGCATATTTTTACACACTAAACAAAACCGAAATCGAACTTATTGAATATATAATTTACAGAAAAGTCAAATATAATTTTAAACTATCCATCAAGTTTTCATATTTTTGGATATATATATATATATATATATATATATATATATATATATCAGAATGTGCCACCATTACCTGTTGTTAAATATCTTCTTTTGATATTACATATTAATATGATACTGGATCTAAAGAAATGCATATTTTATATTTTATACTCATTGGAAGCACAATCCTATCTCATTTCAGAAAACATTAATTTCATCACTGACAAATTACTTTAATATCATTTTTATAAATTAGTAAAGAGCTAGGTAAAAATTACATTAGGTAACTTGACCTTAAGAAACAAACTGAAGATAATGAGAAATTTTTAAAGTTAGCATTTTTCAAATTTTATTTTGAAACTTTTTAACAGTTTAATAAATAACTAATTGCCAGACTACAAGCCAATGAGAGACCCATCTCCTGCTGTTGTTAAGTGCAAATGCAAGTGGCAGTTTAAAAATTCAGCTGCTGCTCATTTAACACTCGAACCATTCACAAGCCTTCTAGAAATATGAAATTCAAAAGACTAGGCTAAATGTCAAGTAGAAGTACAATAACAAGGCTTGGGTGATACATGACCTTTTTACACGATTTTCAGATCGGATCAATGAAGTGTTCAATCTGTCTGTAAAAAATACCCGTTTGAAATGAATTTGCCCCATATTGTGTCTTGCTTGTAATGGATAATGCTCTTGCACATTTTCCAAGCCTATAAAATGACCACCATGAAGAATTTAAATTTGCCAAGATTCCTTTCCTGCCCGCCAACACCACTCCTTTACTGTAACCCATCGACCAAATTTTGAAAAGCTCTACATTAAAGCACTCTGCAAACTTTGTTTTAAGGTAACTGAAGGAAACATTCTCACTGTCAAGACAGTTTTGGAAAGACCAGTCTCACATTATTACCTGCCTCAAGATGATCAACAAGCCATGGGACATGGATTCACCAAGAGAAGTATTATTTCCATATGGAAAAAGCTTTTGCTGGGCAATGTTGTTAAATTCACTCCAAGGGGTTGGCGCCTTAATAAAAATAATTTTGCAGGCAGCATCTGCAGCATGTTAAGTTTAGATGAAGAGAACTGCACATGCAGCCAGCTTAAAAGTATATAAGCCAAACTACACTGAATGAGTGCAACTGCAGCAGCAGTGAGCAGTGGCAAGCCACAGTGGACTACTTCAGCCACCATCAGATTCTCAATGCAGTCCTGATTAGAGCTGCAATGAATTATTCAATCCCATTCCTGATTGTCTGGCTAGTTGTTCTCCTGCAAGGGTCCTGAAAGACCAGCAAGGAATACTTTATTTTCAATCGTTACAGCATTGCTAATACAGCCTATTTCCACATTATGTTTTTCCAATTAATGACAAGGTGTCATTCATCAGTTTTTCTTTGGTTAAGCTAGTTTACTAATGTTTAGTACTCAAATGGATTCTATTAAATAATACCTCAGTAGTTAGCAGATTCTGTCTTATTCAATATATCTCCTGATTAAATTGAGGCATATAAAGGTACAAGTTTTTTGGAGGAAGGCATCACAACCTATTTATTATAATATGTTTAGTGTTTTGGTTTTAAATTCTAAATATAAATCAATTAAAAAGTTTTAATGGAAAACCACATTTTTATAATCTAAACTTTGATTTACTAAATATTCAAAAACTTTTCTGAAGTTAACAAAATGACAAAAGATAAATAAAAATGTTTTTAAAATTTATTTATTCCATGCTTAATTTTAAACTCAGAATAACCTTTTTTGAGAATAACTTCAGATTAAAATAACTGCCAAGTATGCAGTTAACCCAAGACATGAAAATCTAAAATGTTTACACTCCCCCCCAAAAAAAAATAAGTGTTCAGAAGAATACTCTTAAGTTACATAAGCAAAAATACATTCTATTATAACAGAACAAAAAGCAAAGGATGTTTAAGTAAAATTTATTGACAGTTTTAAAAGGATTATAAATTGAAACTAAGACATTTAATTTTCCGTGATACATACCATAATTTTGTTGACCAGAAAGTACATTAAATTTGTTGCTCAATTTCTTAATAATAAATTCATGTAGTTGACTAAAATCACTTTCACTACATCTGTAGAAAAATTTGTTTTTAGTTAAAAAAAAAAGCCAAATGATGCATAATAAATCAATAAGTATCATAAATGCACATTAGCCAAAAACAGTACCCAGTATTTCAATTAGATTAAAAAGTTTCTCTACATGTAATGTTCAACTTAAATTTTATAAACCTTCTGTGTTAATATTCTAGGCACTGAAAGCTGATTAATCTACATAAATAAAAAAATGTTCTTTTCACCTTAAAACTAAGTACAGCAACATCTAATAATGAGGCTCATACAACAGAGGTAAAGGAATTTCAGAATTAGGAAATAAAATACAGTCAACCCCCGCTTAACAAGAATCTTTCATAATGAGTGATTCAATATAACAAGCAAAATAAAATATCAAAAATTTACTCACTTAAAGAGCAATATTTCACAGATTAGGAGATAAGGAAACAATGTGATGCCACATGCAGGATCCTGTCTACATCACAGCTATCAGTTTGTGTTTAGTGCTCATTTAGTTAGCCTCTTACTGTCACTTGTGAAAGATATATTCAGACATATTATCAAGTAATTTTTTAGTGCAAAGTTTAAACATGCTTACAGATTTGTCCCACAGAAAATGTCACAACAAAACAAGGGTAAGAGAAGAAAAATCACTGTAAAAGTCAAGCGTCAAGTCATTGAGAAGCAAGAACAAGGTGTGAGTGCAGCTGACTAGCACACATATATAATTGGTTCACATCAACAATTTGAACTATGCTCAAAAACAAGAATAAGATTAAGAAGACTGATGTTTCAAAGAGTGTCACAAGACTTTCTATACAACACCAATGTATTCTAGACAATGTTGAAAGACTGCTTCTCATACAGATCAACAACAAGCAAATGCAAGGTGACACTATTAATGAAAACATAATTTGTGAGGAGGTGAAACTAATTTTTGGCAGATGAGGGGATCACCAAAAGATGAAGACAGAGCATTGAAGGCAGGACATGGGTTGTGAAAAAAGGTTAAGAGAGGAAATGGTTGCACAGCATTGTCAGGCATGGAGAGGCAGAAAAGTCAGACATAAAGGCAGCCAAGAACTTCATCCTATTCAAGAAGCTTGGCAATTTTGACAGTTATCTGTCACAACAGGTTTTTAATTGCAATGAGACTAGTCTCTTCTGGGAAAAAAAAAAAAAAAAAAAGATGCTAAAGTGATCTTACGTTACAAGAGAAGAGAAGGTATTGCCAGACTACAAGCCAATGAGAGACCCATCTCCCGCTGTTGTTAAGTGCAAATGCAAGTGGCAGTTTAAAAATTCAGCTGCTGCTCATTTAACACTCGAACCATTCACAAGCCTTCTAGAAATATGAAATTCAAAAGACTAGGCTAAATGTCAAGTAGAAGTACAATAACAAGGCTTGGGTGACACATGACCTTTTTACACGATTTTCAGATCGGATCAATGAAGTGTTCAATCTGTCTGTAAAAAATACCCGTTTGAAATGAATTTGCCCCATTGTGTCTTGCTTGTAATGGATAATGCTCTTGCACATTTTCCAAGCCTATAAAATGACCACCATGAAGAATTTAAATTTGCCAAGATTCCTTTCCTGCCCACCAACACCACTCCTTTACTGTAACCCATGGACCAAATTTTGAAAAGCTCTACATTAAAGCACTCTGCAAACGTTGTTTTAAGGTAACTGAAGGAAACATTCTCACTGTCAAGACAGTTTTGGAAAGACCAGTCTCACATTATTACCTGCCTCAAGATGATCAACAAGCCATGGGATATGAATTCACCAAGAGAAGTATTATTTCCATATGGAAAAAGCTTTTGCTGGGCAATGTTGTCAAATTCACTCCAAGGGGTTTGAGCAAGTGCCTGTGGAGACTGTAATCAATAAGTTGTGTCTCTGGCTAAAATTATGGAGCTAGAGATGAACAGCAATAACATCAGTGAACTAGTAGAACAGCGCAGCCAGGAGCTGACCACAGTAGAACTTATGAAGCTACATTCTGCCTCAAAGCAAGAGGTTGCGAAGGAGATTTCATCAGGGAAGGAATAGATGACAGCCTCAAGAAAACAACAACCTTCTATTGAAATAAGAGAGAAGCTGAGAATATGATAAACTGTTGCATTGTACATTGAGAAGCATTACTGTAACAAGGAGCAGCTATGTGGCACTACACATTTATTTAATGATAATGCGTTGTCTCATTTCTGTCAAATTTTGAAGCATATGCAAAAACAATGTCTTTAGACAACTTTCTTATATAAAAAAGGCTACATTATAAATAATACTCTTTCTTTTTATGAAATGCATTATCCTATTTTACACTGATTCCTACGAAAAAGAAATCGTTTCGCACTATTACGAGTAAGATTTGCGAACAAATTATACTCATTAATTGGGGTTCCACTGTTATAGCAAAACAAAAATATAAACAGAAATTTATTGGTGAAATTGAAATGCAAAATTCATGATGTTTATAGATGTCTTTTCCAAAGAAAACCAAATTTACATTTTTGTCTTTTGAATATGCTTAACAATTTAATATATACCATATAAAAATTACTTTTGTAGTTTCTAAATGTAATATATAAATATATGACTACCACTACTACCTACTTTTAATTGTAAAAATAACTTTTACGAAAGGCAATATTATGTGAAACACAATAGCAAAAAGTTTTTCACAAAAATATAAGAGTATTAAACATATATTAAATATTTAATAAATATTTGAAGAAAATACAAAACAAAAATTAATCCTGGGTACTAATCTTTGGGAGGGAGACTCTGAATTAAGACTTTGAATAAAAATTTGCTCCATTTATTTTACTTTATGTTAAATATATTTTTCCTAAAACAGATTCTTTCTTACGTATATACTTTAGCAGTAAACTCTCGTTCTTCTTCAAGAATGCTTTCACTCTTTCAAGCAAAACATCACTTATATTTAGAACTGGAATAAAAAATAAAAAAATAAAAAAACCATTAAAATAAAATATTATATATATTAAAAAATAACACTACAAAAAAAATTTAAATGTTAAATTACAGAAAAATGTAAAAACAGCATATTTTGAATAATTTTGATAAAAAAATTGTATTTTAAAAGAGAAAAATAAAAGCATGAATAAAATTTACTTGAACAGCCATAAGGCCTACGATACGAGTGGACTGCTGATTTCTTTGAGTCATTTAACATCCGACCTAAAATTACAATTTTAAAAGTCACAATATAAGAACTTTCTTACAAAAGCTCATTTTTAAATACAAAAATATTTCTTGGCACACATTTACATTCCTTAAAATAATTTTATAATATATTTAGGATATGTTTGAATAAGAAATTAATTATACCAAATATAACTAAATGAAAAATCGTAACTGATATTGCTCTCAAAGATTGTAATAACAATCAATTTAAGAAATATTTGGAATATATAAGTAATTTTCCAAAGTACATCTTAAATAAAAAGTTGTGTGTGTGTATGTGTGTGTGTGTGTATATATATCTCTAAATATAATTTTAACATTAAGTAAAACTTTTAATATAACTGTAATGATGAAAAAACATTATGTAATGCTATTAGACATTCAATTCTTTTTTAATTTCAAATAAAAAAATATTTAAAAATAATATACTTTCTTATAAAATATTTAGCTACACATTCTGCGTCAAAAATATTCACACAGAAAAACTATTCAATCACGACGAAACTTGAGATTGACAATGAAAAGGCAAAAAGGAAGTTTTAAGATAATTCTCCTGCCTTCCTAGCGTGCCTTCGTGGTGTAGTGGTCAGCACACTGAGACGGTATTTCAGAGGTCTGTGGTTTGATTCTCAGTGAAGGCATTGCTAATTTTTCATCTCTTCTGCTTCTACAATTAAGCTAATGTCTCTATAGTGGTGCCCGAACTAAAATGGTTGTGGATGATGACTCTCCGCACACAGGATTTGGCAATTGGATCCCCTAAAAACCCCAGTCGCCCTTTAAAAGGAGGAGTATGTAAGGTATTTCTCCCGCCTTCCTAGTGTGTTTTCGTGGTGTAATGGTCAACACACTGAGCCGGTATTTCAGAGGTCCGTGGTTCGATTCCCGGCGAACTCATTGCTAATTTTTTCATCTCTTCTACTTGCAAAAATTACCTAATGTCTCTACAAAGTGAGTGAAACTAGATAGCAATCAACCTATTTACTGAGCAACATGGGTCCTCAACCTTTACGCTTTACACTGGCATAAAAAATTAAAGGAGTAACTATAAGAACTCATGTAATATCAATGATTTTGCAGCTAAGAACATGGAACTAATGCAAGATCATTATTTTATTACACCTGAGATATCTTCAAAATGTAGAACTGCCTTATTTCCATAAAAAATAAAAGTACTTTTGCAATAGCCACCCAACCTTGACAAGAACCACTGGGCAAAGGACTATGTTTCCAAAGTGGACAACCTTAAAGTTTATGAAAATGTATTTATTTGTCAACCTACTAATGGTTGTGCACATTATGACATCTGTTATCATGATAGTGGTGGTAGTTAGCATGGTTTTGAAATTTGAGGGTAATGTTTGTAATTTCTATATGTTGCAATTTATGTGTGGAGGTTTTTCTTTCCTTGTAATGAATCATATTGCCAATCTATTTCAGCTCATAAAAAGAAAGCATTGCATGTTTTCCCCAGAAATATGGCATTTTGCCTACTAGTAGAAAGTGTAAAAATGTATATTGCAATTTAAGTTTATTTGTGTAATTATTTAACAATTTTTTAGCTAAAACAGGTCAATATGTACATGAAGAACAGTGAAAGATTGCTATGCAATGTGAAGAATTCTGCAATTCTATGATGTTTAAGTTAACACAAACAGCTTTGCACACAGATGAAAGAATATGAAAATAGAAAGTTAAATGTTTTATTATGGAGGTTTGTTGCATTTAATTTAGGTAATTTGTTACTGCTTTATGAAATTTTGAATGTTTCATTATGTTTGTTTTGTTATTTTTATTGTTTTATTATACATGCTTCTTGCATTTTTACTTTTGTTGATTCTTTGCTGTGTTATGTAATTTTCAGCATGCCACCATTTACTTAAAATGGTTACTGTTTTTCATGTGTTAGTCAGCAATGATTGCCACCTTTGGAGGAGTGTTGGATAAATAACACAAGTATACAAAAAAAATTAGTACCTAAAAGCTGTTTGTAGTTAATTCATTTATCTTTCAGCTATGTAGTTCTTCAATAAAATGGGTTTAACAGAAATTTCGGCCAGTGTAGTTAGAACCAAAACCCCCTGAGGTGCTGTGTACCCTTCCTTGTTCTTGACATATACTATTTGCATATCTCTTTGTCTGTACCACAGCTGAGAATGGCAGAATACCTTTGTCTTATGATTAAATAAAGCAGTTCTCTAGAAGCATTGGAAAAAAGTTCTTTGATTATAAATGAAAGTTGCCCTAGATTAAAGAATAGGTGGTGCTTAAGTGAACTCTGATTCCCTTTCTAAAACACCAGCTGATAAGTAATGGATGTGCATACACTCATTAAGTTTACTAGATGTTCTCATAAAACACAATGAAATGCTTCCTTGCATTATCATACATTATCAGCTTTTGATCAGAAAAGAGGAGTGGTCATTGTAGGCTGAAGAAAAAAGAAAAGAAAGCACTGTAATAACCATCAAGTGACAGGTCCACTTTTCAGACAAAGATACAATCTTAATTTTGGCAGGAATTTTATATGTCAACAAATCACTGCAAGGAACCCTTTTTATTTGTTGTGTGCATAACTTGCAACATGTCAAAAATTATTAAACAAAATGATTTAAGCCTGAAAGAGAAGGATAAATTGATGAAACAAATGATACATTTGATAGATACACCCAAAAAGAAGCAGCTTTTAAAATGAGGATTTCCCAAACAGCATTGTGCAATTTACTTAAGCAAAAATTGATAAAGAACTAGTTAAAAATGCAAAAGCCTCAAGGAAGTGCAAAAGGGATGGGAAATTAAGACACTGAAAGCATGCTTCTAGAATGGAGCTATGAGACTAAAAAATGTTCCAATTTCTAAAGCTCTTTTGATCACAAAAGCTGTAGAATTCATTAAAATACTCAACAGAAAATTGATGGATGAATGCCAACTGATGGATGGCTCACAAGATGGAAAGAAAGAAAATAACATTGCTTATCAAGAACTATATGGTGAGGGACAGTTTGCAGCGGCAGCGCCAAACAGGCGATACGGACTTAAAAACTGTACAGAAAAGCGCCAATTGGCAAAACAGTAAACCCGTTTGGCAAACCTACAGGCTGACGGGGAGAGAAGAATTTTCCCCGGCAGTCAAGTGGAACTACTTCAACAAATGTGTGCATCTCTGTTTTCGCCGAGATATGTGAACTTGTGTACTCGCATCTGTACTGTGCTCTGAATTTCTTAAGCCGTTATAATGTACCCGGCAAACTGTTACTTTTTCCTTATTAAATTTGATTATTAATTGTAACATGTCTATGTTAACTAAGATTTCGGCTTTCCTAGTTAATGTTAGGGATATTTTCGTATGCACGTCTTACTCACACACGTACATCATTGGTGACCCTGTCCCTCGCTCCTTCTGTTTCGATCCCTAATGACTATCTGTCTCAATCTTTGTTAAAAAAACTAAAAATATGCCTTATTTTGATGCCAATGCTCTTCCTTATGACTGATAAAGGCTCCACCCTATTATTTTTCCTCCTCATTTTATCGTACGGATTACACGTGGTTTATCACACTTAAGGAGGATTTACAGGTATGTGGTCAAATTTTTTTAATTATCTGTGATTGGTCTTAATTATGTTTTTGTGATATGTTTTGCTCTAAAAAATTATAGTTTTAATTTAATTATTGATTGTTTAAAATTGATCTTTGGGTAATATTTGTGCTCACGCTTTTATTGAGATATTGAATGTCTTCATTATTTTATTCTAAATTGATACTGTTTTGATAAGGTATAGTGCAAAACATTAAGTTTACGATTTACGATATATTTATAATTGGCAACCATGCCAGGATCGGAAGGCCAAACCAACGAGGAATCGAATAGGGCGGTTCAGGAGCCACAAATCTCACACGTAGCAGTTAAAATTCCCCCTTTATGGAAAAAAAATGTTAAACTTTGGTTTATTCAAGTTGAAAGTAACTTTGCTTTAGCGAAGATTAGTAGTGATTGTACAAAATACAACCACGTGGTTTCTTCGATAGACCCTGAAACTCTTTCCGCAGTATCAGATATTTATTTAATCCCCCAGCGACGGCTAAATATGATGCCCTTAAAGCTAGGTTAATAGTAGAATTCTCAGATTCGGAAAGCGAGCAAATACGCAGACTTATTTCTGAATTGCATTTAGGGGACAACAAACCATCTCACTTATTGAGAAAAATGAGAGAATTAGGTGGAAACTGTATAACTGACGAATTTTTAAAATCATTATGGCTGCAAAGGTTACCTTCCGAGGTGCATGCCATTTTATCAATAAGTTCGGAATCCTTAGACAATTTAGCAAAAATGGCTGATAAGATAGCTGAAGTGCGCACGCCAACGAACAACAGCGTGTTCGCGGTCCAGGCAGCTTCGGCGAGTTCCCCCAGAAACCCTAACGATTCTGGTGCCCCCCCCCCCGAGGAGCTTAAGGCCTTAAGGAGTGAAATCTCTGCCCTAAGTAAACAAGTCGAGCGACTCTCCCGCGGAAAAAAAAAAACGAGGAATAATTTCCCCCGGGATCAACATAACACAGCACGTAGTTTTTTCGCGTGGGCATTCCCGAGAGCGTGTGAACAATTATTGTTATTTTTCATTCGCGATTCGGTAAGTAATGCACGAAAATGTCGAGCACCTTGTTGTTCCTTTCTCAGAACACTACGGCCCAGGAAAACTAGTAGTAGCGGCTGTCGATCGAAATTCATCGGCTGTCGCGCATTCATGTGTTTACATGTTTACGATAACAGATTAAATTTAAACTTTTTGATTGATTCGGGCTCGGATATTTCATGTGTGACACCGACTTCTAAGTTTAAGAAAATGCATCCTGATTCGCTTCAATTATTTGCCGCGAATAATTCCAGAATTTCTACGTATGGAACAAAATTGTTAACTGTGAATTTAGAACTTAGACGAAACTTTTCTTGGAAGTTTTTAATCGCCGATGTACCAGTGCCTATAATAGGAGCCGACTTTTTAAGGCATTTTGATCTTTTAATCGATTTAAAACGAGGAAGGCTTATCGATAATACTACGAAATTAACTCGTATTGGTTCTCTTTCCGATTCTAAAAATTATTTTTCGATAAAGTTAATATCTGGTAATTCACCATATCACAGAATCTTGAAAGACTTTCCGGAAGTACTGAAGTTAAAATCCGATTCGGGTCGAGTAAAGCATAGTACGGTTCATTACATCGAAACAAACGGTCCTCCTGTGCACAGTAAACGCGTAGGTTAAGCCCTAAGTTATACGAAGCAGTAAAAAAAGAATTTCAATTTATGATAGATCAAGGTATTTGTAGACCATCAAAATCAGCATGGTCATCACCTCTTCATGTAGTTTCTAAAAAGTTCGGGCGACATACGGCCAGTAGGAGACTACCGAAAACTAAACGCGTGCACCGAACCCGACAGATACCCTATCCCGCATTTACAAGACTTTAATAATACGCTTAGCGGAAAGACAATTTTTCAAAAATTGATATCGTTCGGGCATATCATCATATACCAGTCCATCCAGATCATATACCGAAAACTGCAGTTTGCACCTCATTTGGTCTTTTCGAATTTCCGTTTTTAAATTTTGGACTGTGCGGAGCAGCTCAAACCTTTCAAAGGTTTATGAACGAAATTCTTGGAGATCTAGAATTCGCCTACGTCTACTTAGATGATATTTTGATATTTAGTGATACGGAAGATGAGCATAAATCTCACCTACGTACTGTTTTTGAAAGATTAACTTCATATGGATTGACAATTAACGCTTCGAAATGTGTTTTCGGCGTTCCGGAAATATCTTTTTTAGGCCATATAATCAATAAAGATGGTACCAAGCCTCTGACGAACAAAGTGGAACCGATACTAACTACCCACTTCCTAAAACGGTAAAAGAATTGCAGAGATTTTAGGATTTTTAAATTTTTACCGTCGATTTTTACCCAACGTAGCCCAGAATCAAAATACATTTAACTTCGTATTTAAAAGGGGCTAAGAAAAATGATAAGACAATCCTGAATTTGTCTGAGGAAGCGCGGAGTGAATTTCAAAAGTGCAAACAGCTAATCGCTAATGCTGTTCTTTTGGCACACCCGAAGAAAGATGCACAGTTGATTTTACAGGTTGATGCGTCAGACTTCGCGATCGGTGGAACGCTATCACAAATAGTTGATAGAAATTTACAGCCTCTCGCATTTTTCTCACGAAAGCTTTCGCAGGCGGAAAGGAACTATAGTGCGTATGATCGAGAGCTATTGGCAGCTTATGCTGCTATTAGGCATTTTAAGCATATGTTGGAAGCACAGAACTTTTCTTTAATCACCGATCACAAACCGCTCACGTATGCATTCCGACAGCGTTTGGATAAGTGTTCACCTCGTCAGGCTAGGCAGTTAGACTTTATCTCACAATTCACCACTGAAATTCGCCATATAAAAGGTTCGGAGAATATCGATGCCGACGTACTTTCGCGTATAGAAGCAATAAGCATGCCTAACCCTATTGACTATGAGGAAATCGCTAAAATGCAAGAAATCGACCCAGAATTACAAACATTGCTTAAAGAGTCAAAAGTTCTACATCTCAAAAAAGTTACCTTACCGAATTGTAGCTTACCGATATATTGCGATGTGTCAACAGGTAACGCCCGCCCTTACATTCCTCCGGCATTCCGTGAGAAAGTTTTTGCCACCTTGTACAATTTGTCTCACCCCGGCATTCGCGCATCAACAAAGTTAGTATGTTCACGGTTTGTTTGGTCTTCCATCCGCAAAGATTGCGTGAAATGGGCATGGCAGTGCATTCCGTGCCAGAAAGCAAAAGTAAGCAGGCATACGAGAACCCCGTTAATGAAGTTTCCAGACCAATCACAGAGGTTTGATCACGTCCACCTTGACCTTGTTGGTCCCCTACCTCCTTCTCAAAATAATATTACTGTCTAACTATGATAGATAGATTTACTAGATGGCCCGAAGCAGTACCCATACCAGACATTAACAGCACGCACAGTAGCACAGGCTTTCTATGACCATTGGATTACTCGATTTGGTTGTTCAGACTGTTATTACTACTGACCAAGGGCGAACAGTTTGAAAGCGGCTTATTTCGAGCCCTTTCCCAATTGTTGGGAATAAAAAGGATCAGGACGTCTCCGTACCACCCACAGGCCGAATGGACTTGATCGAAGAATTCCACCGTCCTTTGAAAGCTGCCTTAAAAGCGCATAATAACCAGTGACTGGGTGGCTGCCCTTCCAACGCTGCTGATGGGTTTCCGCCGCTGCTCTCAAAGAGGACATAGGAGCAACCACTTCTGAACTGGTGTATGGACAAGACTATCCGTCTCCCAGGAGAATTTTCAATCCGACACCTCCGGATGTGTCCCCCAAACAGTTTGTGGCAGGATTTAAAATCTCACTTTGCCATGTCTCCGTCCAACCACGACTTCTAGCCACGGTCAGCGAACATGTTTCATTCATCCACAGCCTTCACAAGTCCACATATGTGTTTGTTCGACACGACGGAGTTAGAAAACCACTTCAAACTCCTTATGATGGACCATTTAAAGTGCTAGAAAGACGAGATAAAACGTTTGATCTCGAAAATAAAAGGGACTAAGCAAACGATCTCCATAGATAGACTGAAACCCGCTTTTGTAACCATGGACTCTTCCTCAAGTTGCTTGCCAAGAGTGTTAAAAAAAAAACTTCGGACATTTGTATCCCCCGTTCTGGACGATTAATCCGACCCCCGCATCGGTATGTCACATTTCGTTGACACTGCGGAGGGAGTATGCAGCGGCAGCGCCAAACAGGCGATACGGACTTAAAAACTGTACAAAAGCGCCAATTGGCGAAACAGTAAACCCGTTTGGCAAACCTACAGGCTGACGGGGAGAGAAGAATTTTCACCGGCAGTCAAGTGGAACTACTTCAACAAATGTGTGCATCTCTGTTTTCGCCGAGATATGTGAACTTGTGTACTCGCATCTGTACTGTGCTCTGAATTTCTTAAGCTGTTATAATGTACCTGGCAACTGTTACTTTTTCCTTATTAAATTTGATTATTAATTGTAACATGTCTATGTTAACTAAGATTTCGGCTTTCCTAGTTAATGTTAGGGATATTTTTGTATGCACGTGTTACTCACACGTACATCAAGTTCATCATTTCATTAAAAAATGAATAAGAGACATTCTACCCAGCTTCTAAAAGAATACAAGCTACTTGAAATTTATAACACAGATGAAAGTGGCTTGTTTTAAAGAGTATTACTACAGCATTTATTAATGTTTAAATTCAAAATGGCCACTGGTTTTAAGAAATTAGAATAATGCATTATTGTATTATTAATGTGTAATATGGATGCAACAATTAAAAAGACATCAGTGGTTACTGGAAAAAGTAGAAAACCTCGATGTTTAAGAGCAGTTAAGAATTTCTTTTAACTTAATAATAAGAACTCATGGTTGATAAGCAGTATTTTTACTGATTTCCTTTTGAAATGAGACATAAAACTGAAAAATGAAAAAATAGTTTTCTTGTTTATGTTACAGATAAATGTACTGCACATGCCTCTGATATCATTCTGAAAAACATTAAATTAATGTTTCTTATTGCAAATGTAACTTCTGTCATTAAGCCATTAGACCAAGGTATCATAAAAGCTTTCAAAAATAACTACAGAAAAGAAATTGAAACAAATTCAACATAATTAAATCTTATGAAAATGTAAGCACTTTGAAACAGACAATTAAGTTAATATCTTTGCTATGAATATTACATTCAGTGCAAGGGAAGCAGTCTCTCAAAACACAGTTAACTGCTTTAGAAAGTGTGGTTTCTATTTAGAATAGGACACAGAAAAATTGCAAACTATTTCTAATATTTCAGACATCAATGAGAGAAATTATAAAGATTTGCTTTTAGAATATGTAGCAAATGATGATATAATTGAGGCAGCATGTGAAAATGCTGATTATGATACTATAGAAAGTATTAAAACAGCTGCAGAAACTGAAATTGACAGTGAAAGTGATATGGAAGAAAAAGAGACTATATGCCAACCTGAGCTAAATAATGAAAAGCACTACAAACTCTAAAAGAACTCTTGAATTGAAAGGTGGAGATCAGAAAAATCTACAAACGGCTTTATGAAATATTGCTGATGAACAATGTGAAACTAATATGGATAGAGCAGTTCTTTGTAAAAATTTTAAATTTTATCAAGTATGTAATTATAAAGTGTTTTTACAAAAAAATAAATGAAAAACAAATTTCCATGTTTCACGAATAGTTTAATTTTAGCATTAATTTTTAATTAATATTTTAGTTATTACCTATTAGATTAAATGTTAGTAAATATCTTAATGAATAAATAATTTGCAATATAAAAATTGCCATTTATTTATCTAATCCACTTAATAAACTCAAACTTGCTTGGAACAGAAGTAATTTTATTAAGCGGCAGGTAGTGTACATAAATTTCAATTATTGTTTTTAAAACTTACCACTTCTTATGATATGAGCCACAAGATACAGTTCTCTACTTAAATCAGTTGCACCTAAATCCTTCAAAAAAATAATAATAAATCCTCAATAAAAAAATAATAATAATAAAATAAGCTAATCCCCACTACATACATATATACATTAAATAAAAGAAATAGGTTTTGCAAGCATAAAATAAACAAACTTTATTAATACAAAATTATGAGTTCTAAAAACTTTATGAACACATCTTTAATGATTTTTTTCAGAAAAAATTTTTATATTCCTCAAATTTCATCAAAATGAACATAAAAGAAGTAGAAATATATGTCAAATGCTCAATTAAATTAGAATTAATTTGAAAATCAAACTTACAGTAAAGACTGTACAAGAATTGGTAAGTTTTTCAACAAAATGAGACATTCCATACTTTGCAAATCTGACTAGAAACCTCTCACTGAAATGAAAGAACAAATGCTTTCAAATAAACATGAAAATTACTTTTCAGAGAGTCAAAATAACTTTTTTGCTAGAAAAGAATGAAAAATTCTTAAAGTTGAAACTTTGAGTGTTTATTTAATGCTCAAAAAATCATACTCAGAAGGAAAAATACACAATTACAAATTTATATTAAAATAAAGATACATGCATTATTTTTGGAAGTTATAATTCCAACTTTAGTCATCAACTAAATTATCCAAATAAAAAAAAATATTTAATATGAGGAACAAAACGAAAACAAACTGCTAGAAAGAAGTATCTAATATTATCACTAGATTTAAATAAAACATTTGACAAACTACATTGTTTTAGCTGTTAAATTTAACTGTCTAATTCAATTACAACCCTGATAGAAGTTTATATTTTCTGAGAAAAAGTAAGTACATTTCATAATCACTAGAATTAACAGCTCCTTCCCATTGAAAATATCAAAAAGAAGATAAACAGAAAATTTTTCAAAACCTGTATAACCAAAAATGAATATTTACATTGCATAAAAACGTTTTAAAAACTTAACCATAATGCTATTTATTATCTTAATATATTTTATAATAATGTTTTACAATGCAACATCTTCAAAATATATGAGAAGACCTATATTAATTTAAATTTAAGAGAAAATATTTAGTTTATAATAGTAGTTATCAATGCAAAAGAAAGCCATCAGACTAAATAGTGCATTACTAATTGTAATTTATTAGCCCAAATGATATGATGCAAAAAAAAGTAAGCTTCTTTGGAACTGAATTGCATTTACGCAGCACATGGAAAAATTATGAAAACATGCATACAAATAGAGATTTTACCAAGAATCAAACATTGAAATGAATTAAAAAATTATTATGTAGACATAGACGAACCATTTAATAACTAATTACATAAAATATAACTGAATGAACAGAAAATGTTTAATTTTTTGTTATTAATTGGATTAAATGTATTGAATAAAATTAAATACCTGATTGTCTCAGATTGCTGAGCATCATACAAAGAGAAAAATATTTCCATATCTTCCCCTAGACTACAACTAAAGTCCCTCATTGACATATAGAGGTGATGATTAGATGATCTTTTGATTTCCCACCGTTTTGTTGTTCCCCTACCCTAAATCAAATGGTTAATACTGTAAACCAAAATTTTAAAGAATGCTAAAACACATAATACAGTGAAATCTCCTTATGATGACTACTTGTAGTTACACACATTTTTAACTATACATGGAAATAGCACAGAGAAAACAAGACTAATGATAATGTACAATATCATTAGTTAATTATGTTCTCAAAAGTAGCATTCACTTTTTAAAATGATCATTTTAAAGGAGTAGTCAACATCAGAAGTTGCACTGCATTAATTTATTAGCAAAATGAACAATATAGCTTCTCATGGCTAACCAGGGTTGGTAGCCACATTTTAGTTAAAAAAATAAACACCTATAAGCACTTTTCAAGCACATTTTAAGAAAAAAATAAGCACTTGTTTAGTTACATATATACACATTTGCATAACTTTAAAATAAAAATAAGATTTAACCGCAATTCAAAATCCGAGAAATTCAGTATTTAAAGAGAGATTCGGCATTACTCAACCATGGGAAACAATTATAATTATTTTTTAATTGCAAATAGCAGTACAATTTATAGAACTAGTTTAAGTTGAGAGAGGGAAAAAGAATCCTATGCAAAACTAAATTATATTACAAGATTTAACGATGAAATATCAGTTTAAGGAAAATAATAATAAACTGTATTTATTATATTCATACAAAGTACTTTACAACATAAAAAAAGAAACAAGAAAAAAGATTTATGCTTACTAATTAAATTTTAATTTAATGATTCATGCTTATTAATTAGTAATATTACTTTTATTTTTCTTTTCATTAATGTCCGAATCCAAATCTTTTAGCCCACCAGTGGCCAAGTGGACACTGGTAGTTCGGTCCGAGGTTCGAATCCCGCGAACGGGCTGGCTGCATGGGTGTTTTTGTGGTTTTCCCCATGTGTAACGCGTATACGAGCCAGTTTCCCTTAGAAAGACCTTCACGAAGGCATCCCTCCCCTTAGGCAGATAGCCCTAGTGTGCTTTGCCATAATTAAATACACCAACACCAAATCTTTTAAGAGAGTTTGCTTTTCACAAATAGTTTTTAACATTTCATTGGATTTATTTAAAAGATTAAACTTCAGCCTTTTCAGCAAGTTCATCTGCTTTATTTTCAAGCACTTCTCTTTCTAAGAGAATTTTCTTTCTTTTAAGAGAAATCAATTTATCTGTTGATTCTGCTGCTTTTCTTTTCAATAAATTCTTTTTTTTTTTTTTTTTTTTTTTTTTTTTTCTGCTCTTTCAAATATAACTGATACTGTGAATGAGCTGATGAATCTGCCACTCTCATCTCTTTCGTAATTGACCCATTGTGTATCCCACCAGCATGTTTCCCATAATCACAAACTATGTGCTGGGCAATGTACAAATTTTCCACATGATTTTCTGTTTCCATATTTTTATTGATACTAAATCCTCATTCAACAGTGGCTTGCTCATGGGAAAGAATAAAGATCATTTTAAATGTTTCCTATAACTATATAATAAAGTATTTTCCATTAATTAATGTGTGCAAAAAAAGGATCTAATCCTGGACAACATTTTCAATGAAATCGGAATATTCCAAAAGAATGCTACTGCATTCTTCTTCTGCAATATGACCTTTTTGGAAAAATTCACCAACACACTTTTCATTTTTTCGTATGCTTTTGTACTGTTTTGCGCCATATACTTCGGTTTACTTATGATCCATGTGACACTTCAAAGCAGACTTCTCCCATACTTGCTGTGTTGATTTCAGTTTTACACCAGGAACACATGGCCTTGTGATTATTTTCCCATTGTTTAAGCTATTCAAAATATTCTTCCTTAGAAAGCCAATCATGTTAAAAGCACACTTACCCATTTTTAAAGTTTAGCTTTACAGAAAATATAAATATTCATACATATGCTTATAATATAAGCATAACGATCATAATAAACTCGAATATGAACTGACCACGTGAGATTTGGAATATCTACAGTCTGTGGGTGGGAGGAAAAGTATGTGAAATATACCGAAATTTTCTACCCCTTTCACAACTTTTTGTCCAATAGAATGACGTGCACCTGTCTCTACTCGTGCGAATCAAATGCTAAAGGTTACATTAATGTGGAGAAAGTTATTTCAGGAAGTATGATTCACAATCTGATGCTCCACATAAGAAAGAAAAAGTTGTTTATTTAGTTGTGGCTATGATGCAAGGAGGAAAAACACTAAAAACAAAAAAATAAGTAGGCACCTATAAGGGCTTTTATAATTTATTTTCAAATATAAGGACATATAAGCATTTGTAAGGACCACTACAAACCCTGTTAAAAAATAAAAATTCACATTTTTGTAAATAAAGGACGTCCCAATAAAAGTGCCAGATTCAATAAGCTCAGCAAAACATTTATTTTTAGAAAAAGGAATAAACAGGTAAATGTTCCAATTTAAGAATGAAAAATTATGTCTGGCATATCTCCTCCATGACTTGTTCTACAGCACCCCAATCTCTCGGTCAAATTCATAATCATTTTCTTGTGTAGTTACACATCTAAGTGACTAATGATATATTCAGTTTCCTCTTTAAGTTCAGATTATTTGGGACTTGCAAGAACACTGTCATGCACAAGAGCTTCAACAAATCAGCTGGCTCAAAAGCACAGTGAACCTGCAGCCGAACCTGTGCTCTGAAATTTCTTCATAAAACTGCAATTTTTATTCCATCATGCATACTTTCACATTAAAAGACTGAATAAAGCTTCCTAACAGGTTGTGCATAACACTCACTATTCTTGTAATGAGTTTTCATGATCAAAACTCACTGTCCCTTTGTGTATTGCTCGAAGTCCACTAAACAGCAAAATGAACTGAGGATGATATGAAATGCCAGTCTTGCCAGGTCAACTCAACATTCTTAATCAGAATATTTATCTGTTGTAAGCACATAAAAGTATTTTCAATTTTTTAAAATTAAAGTATTTTTGTGTTAAATGTGACACTTTTATTAGGACAACCTACACATAATAAACTTATATGCATTATGATTGTTTTTTAATTCAGAAAAGGAATTATACTTTATTTCAAACAATAATTATACAATTACGAAAACTACATATAATTATAAAATATATGTAACTAATTTTTTAAAATTTTTATCACAATTGACAGTATTTTCCTATTACAGTACAAAGTCTGTAATCCAGACGTCCATTATCTGGAATGATCTATAATCCGGACCTCAAAGCCACAAACTTTTTTTTTTTTTTTGTATGCTTTACGCATGTACGTAATGTGCTTACACATGCGCGTTTAGCACAAAAAAGGAAGAAACTTAAACAACTCACATTGAAAGAAATGTTTAATAAGGTAAACAAATAAATATTAAGCTTTTTTTTTTTTTTTTTTTTTTTTTTGTTTGTTTGTTTGTAAATTTTGATACCCTTTAGATAATAAATGCTCTTTATTTCATAAATTACTGTTTCATATTTTTAATTGTATAATTTCTGCATGCCATCTCACCAGATTTAAATTGATGATCTATAATCCAGAAAAACCCTTAATCCGGAATTGCCGAAGTCCCGACGAGTCCAGATTATGGACTTTGTACGGTATCTGCACCTTCCTGAAGTATTCACAAGGCAACATGGTATGTCTCCATAATAGACAACCCATGTATTAAGTATCCAAAAACTATTTATGTGGCAACCCAAGTATGCATGCATGCATGCAGCAGCAGATGAGTGGCGATCATTATAGCGGTGTTTGTTTTTGTTACATTGATGATAGTCATTAGTGTTTATTGCACTGAGTACATTTATTTATTTTTTCCTTATAAAGAATCGTAAGAGACTATGGACTTAAATATGGCACTTTTGCTAAGAGTAGAGAAGGCAAAAATTAGAATTCCATGAAGTTGTGCTTGATAAATAATTCAATTTTACAGATCAAAATTTGTATGCCAATACCATGCAAAAACAGAACACTCTGTACATGGGAAAACAACAGCATATGCAATGCTGAATTTGCGCAATTCTCTGCTGTTTCTTTAGGCAAAAACAGATCACTGTACGCATGGTTTCAAGTTGTGCCACAACTCTGAGTTTCTGCAATTCTCCAACATTTTTAAAAATAAAACAGACCATTATGTACATGAGAAAACCAGAACAAAAAAAAAAAAATGTAGTGCTTATCATGGATTTTTTGCTTCTTTTTTTAATTTTGCTAATTGGTTGTTGTTTTTTGCAATTTTTAGTATGCAGCCATTTTTGAAAATGGCTTAATGTGTCTTAGCTCTTCGTGGTAGTGACTTTTTGGAAGATGGGTGCAGATAATCAGAGTACCCAATTAACTAACAACTTACTGAACAAAATAGCAAAAATATAAAATAATGGAAAACGTACAGTTTCAATATAAAAGCACATAATAGACTTCCAATTAATTTAGATAAAGTAACTTTCTAAATTGTGGTTTTAAAATGTTGAATTATACTACTATCATATTTGATCCAAGTAATTTTATGAAATTTACCGGCTCACTAAGAAAATGGTATCATCTAATTTAGTAAATATATCAGCTCATTTAAGAAATTTGATCACCTGACTAAAAAAGAAACTAGCCTGAAACTTGAAACATCTGCATTAAACATATATTCTCCAAATCTGCCTCAAGGTTTCACTGAATTTCTTTTTTTGAAATAAAAAAAAAAAAATAAAAATTACGCAGGAGATTAACTGGGAGAAAGTAATAGTTTATAACTTGAATGCAAATAGAATCATTATGAGTTTTGGAGGGCAATACTTCATAAAAGTAACAGTGAATAGCAATTGATTAAGTTCAGAGAAGTAAATAATCTTACCAGCAAACCAGCAACATTTTCAGAACTACGAACATGCTGAAATAAAAAATAAAATTAAACATCTCAAAAGCATAAAATATATACATGTCTGAAATACATCTGATATGTGATTAAAATGAAAACATATGTACAAATTCCCTAAAATATATTACAATATTTTACATGCCTTCTCAGGATAAATACTACTACATATAAAAATACTCTCAAAAAAATAAAATTTCCTTATATATACAGGGGTTGGACAAAAATATGGAAACACCTTTAAAAAAAACATGTTTCTTTGCTTAATATGGTGTAGGAAACCCGTTGGCATCCAAAACAGCTTGCAGTCTTCTCGGAATGGATAAATACAGTTCCTGTATGTTTGCTAAGGGAATATTATACCATTCTTCCTGCAAAACGGTGGCAAGTTCAGATAACGATGTTGGCGGTGGATAACGAGAACGCAATTTCCGTTCCAATGTAGACCACAAAGGTTCGATAATATTCAGGTCTGGTGACTGTGGTGGCCAGGGAAGATGGGACAACTCATCGTCGTACTCAGAAAACCAGTCCTGAACAATGTGAGCTGTGTGAACAGGGGCTTTGTCGTCTTGGAAAACACCATCACCATCGGGGAACAAAGTTTGTACCATGGGATGAACTTGATCGGCCAAAATGTTCACATAAGTCTTGGCAGTCATGTACCCTGACACAGTTATCATGGGGCTGGCAGAGAACCACGATATGGCTGTCCAAACCATAACAGAACCCCCGCCATGTTTCACTCTTGGCATAAGCAGTCTGTATTATAGGCTTGAGATGGCGTTCTCCAGACGTAAACTCGGCCAGAAGTGGGAAACAATGTGAAAGAAGACTCGTCAGACCATATTACACGCTTCCACTGCTCTATAGTCCAGGCCTTTATGACTTAAACACCACTTTTTCCTGTTACGGGCATTAGCATCACTGATGAGTGGCTTCTCAATTGCAGCACGGCCAGCAATTCCCTGTTTATGAAGCTCCCTTCTAATTGTTTTGGTACTCACAGGGTTCGGTAACACAACATTCATTTCAGCAGTAACTTTTGCAGCTGTGGTCTTCTTATTTTTCGTCACAATTGCCTTTAATGATCGTCTGTCATGATCACTCAGGACACACTTTCGTCCGCGCTGTGATTTAGCAGATGATGTTTTTCCGCTTTTCAAATATGCGGAATAAATCTTCGATACAGTACCTCTTGAAACAGTAAACACCTCGGCTACCTTGCTTACGGAAGCACCTACCATATGTGCTCCAACAATTTGCCCACGTTCGAAGTCTGTTAACTCTGACATAATGCAATGACAACCTCACATAACAGTACTCCGACAACAACTGAACTGTTTAGCACATTTACGAAGTTGTATAGGTGGCGTCAGTAGTCAAAAACGCCAGTGCCACCTACATATTTCATTAAAATCAATCTTTCTTTTCAAACATGCATTTCACAAGGTGTTTCCATATTTTTGTCCATCCACTGTATTTTAGAACCACCAAGGATCAATCAAAGTAACAAGATAATATCATTCATCACCCAAGTAACAACCTTTTCATAGATATATCCTTAACAGTACCAAGATACTTCATTAAATTATTCAAAAATAATAAAATGATGACTTAGTTTGAGAACAGTACAAAGTTATATTTCCTTTACAAATCAAAAAGATAATCTAATAAATTAAAATCTTGGTGAAATTCCACAAAGATTATGTCAGAAATTTTAGATTTAATGATTATTAAGATTTGGTAAGAATGTTAAGCCATATGAAAGTAATAATGTACCCTCTGATTAACTGCCCAACCCTGAGAAGAATCACCATGCAATGTCCTATGCAGCCAAAGTAGGCAACCCATAATTTTATAAAAGTTATTTATCTGACAACCCACGAATGTTTAACCAGCATGGAATTTGGGTTTTGAAATTCAACACTTATTTTGTGATTGATGCTTACCAACTGCTCTTAGATAATTGTGATAATAGCTTTTTCTGAATTTGAGCAATTCTCTGATGTTTTTAATGGTAACAGCTCTTTCCAAAGTTGTGCATTCTCTGATATTTATTTTAAGTCAAAATAGGTCTAAGAATACATGGAAAAAGAGAAGGAAAGAAGTTTACCAACTGTTCTCAGGTGAATGTGAAGGTAGGTTTTACTGACTCTGTGCAATTCCACCACCCCCTTCTTTTTAACAATTAAAACAGGTCAACGTGTTCATAAGAGAAGATTATGAAAAAATATAAATGCTTTATTATGGATGCTTCTTGCAGTTTTAATCAGTTAATTTTTTGTTATTTTATGTAATTTTGAGTGTTTTGTTATATTTTATTTTGTTTCATTATAGATGTTTCTTGCCTTTTTAATTTCTGGAATTTATTGCTGTTTTATGAAATTTTCAGAGCACCATGCCACTTTTTAAAGTGGCATCTATTTTTCATGTTTTAGGTTGGTGAAAAATCAGTCACCAACAATTGGAGACTTTGAGGGACAGTTGGGCAGATAATACAAGAGTACCAGTAACAATTTCGGACATCATTAATTTTTATTGTAATTAAATATATATAACCTAAAATTTGCATAAGAAATAAATGTTATTTGGGAGTATTTTAAATTAACATATTTCAATAAAATATACAAGAAATTAATAAATTATTTCAATATTTAAATCCCATGCTTTGTAAAAACAGAGTTACAAATGAGAAACATAAGATAAAAATTATGAGAAGTTCCATCATATAAAGATATGAGAGTTTACATATATTTTTAGAAACATTATTAAAATTCAGTTTATTTTTAGTGGTGCCTTTGACCTCAAAACTATTAATTTTTAAAGTGCATATTTTACAAAATATAACAATTTTAGTATCCATACCTTGCTACTAACAATAATATGTGATATTTTTTAGAGTAACAAAGTTATTTAAATTTATTGTCTGCTAGTTATTTTTGATCCACTACACTTGTTCAGAGCTACTAAAATTCGAGATTTTGCTGTTATTCTAGATGTTCATTTGGATGATAACTACAGCCAAACACAAGATATTTATTTTCTTCAATTAAGTTTTTAAACATGGATTTAGTTTTATATTTCCAGAGGTAACCACAAAATTTTTTAATCAGAAAATAAACCATGGTACATCACAAGTACGCATGCTATATATATATATTTATTTACACTTGATGTACCTCATCACAGTTGATATACTTTACCATTTGTTCATGCAATTTTTAAAAGCAATTGTTCTACATGCTGGAAGATAGACTATACTAGACAAAGGTGGTAGGAGAAAGGATACGAAATTATGTTATATGCAACCGTTCCCCAATTTTGAAAGTAAAGTCACAGGTAACAAAGAATCATTTCTTTAATGTCTAAGTTGAAGAAAAATTGTTTTCGTTGTTGGTACTTTTTTTTTCCAAGACATACTAGAATAGTAAAAAATTTGATTTCTTTCACTTTTTCCCAAAACTTTCACATAGCCATGGATAAATAAACAATTGTGTATCATTTAGCAATGATGATATAATTTCCGTATTATTATATAGTTACAATAATGGCTTTCAGAATGAAGAATACAGAAACCATGTAAAAGCCTTTGCTTGACTTTTGTTTATGATGATTCATCTGGAAAAGCACATGTGCCAATTACTATTTGCTCTGGGGTTCTGTACAAATGTTTTATTACCTAGAATAACATCACACACTGCATTCGACTCCTTGACGAAGTCTTCCAAACACTGTGCATCAATTGTCACATACTTGCTTTAACAGTTTTCAGCAAAGAAGATGAATAGGAGAAGGAGGCAAGCTCTGGTGAAATAATGTAAACCATCCTTGCTTGCATCAGCCGACTTTCGAATCGCAGCCAGTATTCAGTGAAGCAAACACACAAGGAGCTGCCTAAATTCATTCGTGGACAGCCAGTTCTATTTCAAATGCTAGGGAAGTACAAAGCATAAATCTGCTATTTGAAAATTATTTTTGGCAGCTGTTTATTTCTTGAAATTTTTTTTTTCTGCAGTATGCTTCGCATATTATTTTTTGGTTTTACTGAAACTTTTTTCGTTTCATAATTATTCATTTTCGTACTTAAATATTTCATAAATGGTTACCATTATTTTATTATTTCTAATGCAATACAGTACAAAGTCCATAAACCGGACTCGTCAGGACTTCAGCAATTCCGGATTAGGGGTTTTTCCGGATTATAGATCATCAATTTAAATCTGGTAAGATGGCATGCAGAAATTATACAATTAAAAATATGAAACAATTTATGAAATAAAGAGCAATTATGATCTAAAGGGTATCAAAATTTACAAAAAAAAGCTTAATATTTATTTGTTTACTTTATTAAACATTTCTTTCAATGTAAGTTGTTTAAGTTGCTTCCTTTTTTGTGCTAATACTTTCTCTTTAATTTGTAATTCTATAAACAGACATAATTTCTTGTTCAGTTGCAAAGTTCCACTGTTCAAGTCCTGTAATTGCTGTGTCAAGAATACCAACTAACTTGTCAATCGAAATTTTTTTGTTTTCAATAACCTCTCTGTCACTTTCTTCACTATCGGAAGAGGTATTTTCTGGATTTAGAACCATACTACAGATTTCACCGTCCATTAATTGATTGATGATTGGGGCATTGTCGTCGCAATGAAAAACTTCTGTTACATCATCTTCATTTATTACCGCTTCACCACATTTCTTTAAAAATCCAATAACTGGAAAATTTCAACTTTAGTTTTTGATGTCCGAAAACCTTCAAATTCGTGGCTATCATCTTCATCATCCTCCCCATGAAATATGGTAGCTGGCCATAAATTATGGCAAGCATTTTTTAACATATCTGGAGACACATCCTACCACGATTTTGCAATGCTCCACACAGCAGATTTTATGCTAAAATTTTTTTTTAAATCTTGAATAGTCTTGCCATTGTTCAAGAAATTTAACATAGATTTTTAAAATGCTACTTTATATTTGCATTTCAGCGCATGCACTATTCCCATATCCATAGGCTGAATGATAGACGTACAATTTGAAGAGAAGAATAATACGGATACATTATCTTTCACTAAAACCTTAAGTGAAGTATGCGCCAAACAGTTGTCAACAATCAGGACTATTTTTGAGTCATCAGGTAAACCAACCGAATTCAAATGTTGCCAAGCCTTGAGTATAAAATGATTTTCAAACCAATCATTCATCAACACTTGTGTCATCCATGCTTCTTTTATTTGTGCGATATATAATGGGGATAATCGTTACTTCTTTAAATGCTTGAAGTCGTGCATGTTTTCCGATGACAAAAAGTTTTCACTTGTGCATTCCTGCATCATTTGCGCACGCTAAAATTGTTAGTCTCGCTCATGGAATCTTTGACACCAGTTGCAGCCTTTTCTGTAGAGGTTGCCAAGGTATTTCACGGTACATATTGCCAGAAAAGACAAGTTTCAACAGCATTGTAAATTTGTTCTGGAGATAATTGTTCACTAGTAATGAGTTCATCTACAAATTGTTGAGCAGCTTCAGTATCAGCTGAAGCTTTTTCACCTGAAATTTTTAATTATCTTATAGCATGGCGATTTTTAAATTTAGTTAACCAACCTGTCGAATATGTGCACTCAATGTTTAAGTTCATTTCTTCATGAAATATTTTGGCTTGAGCCATTAGCATTGGACCCGTCAATGGCACGCTCTCACTGTGACATTGTCTGACCCATTCAATCATCGCTTTGTCATGATCGTCACTTTTAGCATAACGAACCCTTTTTCTGTTATTCACTGCAAATGGGGTGTCGGAATCCACAAAAAATTCAAAAATTTCCTTTTTCTTATGTCATATAAAGTTGACTTTCCAATGGCACACTACTCGCATAATTTTGAGACAGATATGCCTTTATCCATTTTTTGCAGCAATTCCACTTTTTGTTTAATGGACATCGAAACATGCTTTCGCTTTGTAGATCCTTTGGCAGCTCCAGAATTGGAAACTGTTTTGACGCAATCGAAAGTTCAAGCTTATTTCTTATAAAATTGTTCTAACAGTCTGCAAAAAGTAACAAGCCAGATCCAATTAGAAGATTATGGAAAGGAAAGAAGAAAAATAATACTAATAGGTTAAATATTATTTTGGAATGCACTCATTTCGTTAAGCATTAGGAATCAAATGTACTTTTTTCATTGGCATTTCAGCATGTCTTAGCTGTTGTAAGTTGTTATTAATAAGTAATGTTAATTAAGATGATTTAGTGATTCCATAGAAGGTTTGAGCTTCATTGTGCAAAAGAATTCGATAAAATTTTTATTGGGTTGTTAACTGTTGTAGAACAAGATTCAGGTCTTGAAATAGGAGTAAATTTGAAATTGTTTCATTTAGACAGTTTCTAAGATTATCCACTTTGTGTCTAGTATTATTATGTTTAAAATTGGTGGATTTAATAAAGTTTGGTTTTGGGACATTTTGGGCAGCCATAAAGTATGAAATTTAATACTGAAATACTCACATATCTTCTGATTTCTTTAACCTTTTAACTGTCATGCCCGAGATTGCACCGGTGTTCGAAAATGTCACGCCCGAGTATTTCTTGGGGTAATTTTTTTTTTTTTTTTTTTTTTTTTTTTTGAGTGCATTGTATTGTCATACCCGAATATATATCGGGAGATGTTTATTTCGGCTACATTTGGTTTTTCCAATAAAAAAATTTGACAATTTGTGTACCCAAATCATCAAAATAACTTGACAGTTAAAGGGGTAATAGTCTGAATTATAATTTTAAAGTAAGATGTTATAATGAGAACTAGGTTTCCATTCAATCATTACATAGGACTTTTTCTTATCTTCTCGTATTATGAAATAGATTTTTTATGCAATGCTGGCTACTTCCATTCAATCATTACACAGGACTTTTTCTTATCTTCTCGTATTATGAAACAGATTTTTTATGTAATGCTGGCTACTTAAAGATACTTGCAACAAAAAAAGAAATAAGAATTAAAAGAAACTGTGTTAAAATTGTTCACTGTAGCACTTTGACAGGTTTCTCAGATCCATGCTGTTGCTGTGCCATTAAAGTTAAAGCTTCTTCTCACAATTCAATTTCTTTGGTTGACAGTTCATGGAGAATTTATATGCAACACAGCTTTTGAACAAGGTAACCATTGCTTGAACTTGTCTCATGCCAATGTCCAGAAATGTACAAATGTTCATATACATCACCTGCTCATTCTCTTAAATCATATAACATACTTTGTTCACACTTTCCTAGATGTCACTATTGCATGATGATTGTCATGTTGCTGGTCATGCACCCAGCTTTTGTCCTCTATGGTGAAACTCATTTAACTAATTAAAAGAATAGCATAACATTGGTGACAAACCAAACAAAAAATCACTCATATTCCTTAGTTGGAAACCCTTCTATGCTAGCTCCATTTTCTGGCTGATATACCAAAAAAATTCACTTCATTTTATACACAAAACAAAATTCACAATTACATTCTGTAGAACCATCATATGCCACCGGCTCATTCATATCTGCAACATAGCTGCGTGACATTACTTCACTTCATTTTGTGCTGCCAGATCTAAAAACATGCGATGTCACCCTCATAAACTAAACAGCATGGTACAGCAAATAATTCTAATTCAAACAGCTAAAGTTGTTCAAAGAGCTGAATTATATACTAGTTCTATTTAATTTTATAAAACAAAGCTAAAAATTAAATTATACCTATATTATATGCAGTTGAATTCTAAATATAAAAAAATTAAATTCTTACCACTTGATGCAATTCAATAGGACTAAGAGAATCTGGATCTACAACTTCATTATTTAATCGAGGAACAAGATCTAACCCTAGCTGCCTGCACCATGAAAATAACATGATTTCATTAATTATTTATCATTAACTTATTTTGCTAAGTTTTTTATTATTAATCTCATTTTATATAAAAACAAAATGTGGTAAAGAAACATACAAAATTACTGTACAAAGTCCACGATCTGGAATCATCAGGAGTTCGCTAACTCAAGATTTTTAAAAATTTCTCTATTTTAGATCAACAATTTAAATCTAGTAAGATGACATATAGCTTTCATAAAATTTAAAATATGAAATATGAAGCATTTACGATCTTAATCAAATTGAAATTTAATTTCATAGATACACATTATTTCATGTTTAGTTGCATGATATATCTTTTTTCAAGTTCTACTGTTCAAACCCTGTAATAGCTGTGTCAAGAATTCCAATAAACTATCAATCAAAACCTTTTCATTCTCAAAAACCTCTGTCTCTTTCTTCATTACTGATAATGATACTTTCTATGTTTAAATGATACTACAAATTTTGCCATCTGTTAGTTAACTGCTGATTGGGACACTGTCATTACAATAGGAAACTAGCTATATTATCTTCATTTACTATCACTCTCCCCATTTCTTCACAAATTCCATTAATTTGAAAATTTTGCCTTCTATAACATTCAAAATCTACACCCAAACAAGGTTGCTGTTCTGCCTAATCTTGAAATCACACTTTCATAAGTCTGAATCACAACGTCATTTTTTCTGCCCAAGGCTGTAGAAGGCAATTACTAAATATGCTTTTACTTTGTGGAACTTCCTACAGCTCCAGGACAAGAAACTCTTTTGGAAATAATTAAAAATTCAAATTTTAACTTTGATTAGACAGTTGTAATAATAATAGCCTGCGAAAAAATAATAAGGTCGATCAAATTAGAAAGTTAAGGAAGAGTACAATTTCTTAACTGAACTTAATGTAATAAATAATGTAACCTAAGTTCTTCAGAATTTTATTTTTTCTCTTTTCTGAACTCCTATGGCAAAAAAAAAAAAAAAAAAAAAAAAAAAAAAAAAAAAAAAAAAAAAAAAAAAAAAAAGCATGAGCAACTTTCCACTTTAAGTAAATATGCCTTAAACCTTTACTTACTGCTTAGGTTAGAAAGAAAAATGTTAACCCCCTAACAATCACTCAAAAAAATGAAAGTATGGTCATGGATTATGCCAATTAATGTATTATTATTGACCACAAAGTGAACCAGCAGGTATTTGCAAGTGAGATACAGGAATCTCAGTCAGTTGGAAGAACTGCTTTTACAACACTTGTCCCCCTTGTTTTCCAAGACTTAGTTAAAAAAAATTGCCGGTGGTCCAGATATTATATCATTCAGAATATATTCTGACCAATCCCATTTTTTTATCATACGGCAGGCTAGAAGGATATAATAATCATTCAGAATATTGGATGTTCAAATTTTGGACTTAGACTGTAACAGTTTTCAATCACATAAAAAGCATTTATTTTTTTTAACAAAAAAGAAGACAGAAGATAATTCAACACTAGGTATATAACACATGATGTTAGCTGTCTTTTCTGTTAATAAAATTATGCTGCACAAATTTATCAGTTGAAAATATTACACAATAAATGTATTTTGTAAATTATATCAAACATATATAAAATTAAAACAAAACTGTACATTATCAGTAATTTACAGCACTATTATAAGTCACCAGTAACCCTCAGTTTGATAGTCAGGTTACAATTACCTGCAACCTATAGGTTGATGCTCAACACTGTATATACAATGTAGTAAATTTTTACAAACTGTGTTTGTTTTTATATCACTTGGTTTCTTAAGCAACTACTGAAATAATGTGATTTTGTGTCACAATAAGTGGCAATATATTATATATTAGTACAGCCCTATCTGGTAACAACATACAAGGATATAACAAAAAATTCACGCTGATGAAGAATGCTGTTTCTTCAGAACTTTCTGCCAGATACTGAATAATTGCTCAGCAAACTTGCATTATGACATGACTATAATTAGTCTCATAATGTGTCTCACAAGTTTGAATGAAAAAGATCTAGAAAAGCTATCTAACAGAAAGAGAGTTGTGACCAAGATGATTTTTTTTCATGATGTTCACCTCATATACAAGAGCATCCTCCAGCGGAGTGGTGTCAGACACCAAGGTACCTGAGCTTGAAGCCCTACCCCTTGCAGAATAATTTTTACATTTCAAATAATGCGGTAAATAACCTGATAAAGATATCTAATTTTTTTTAACAAATTAAGTGAGTTAACAAGATTAATAAATCAGAAACAAATAAAACTTTTAGAACAGAGTATCATATAGAATTGGAGGCCCTGCTGTCAAGCTGGTGAAAACATGACAAAAATACATCATAATCAGGCAGTTCAAATTAGGGAGTACTTGAAATCCAATATAAATACATAGTACTCAGTAGACTACATAAGAATATAACACAGGGAATCCAACACAGAAAATACACAAAATTAAATAAAATGAGCCAAAAATACAATGAATACATAGAATTTACATATTCCAGAATAGTCAGAAACCTATTGATGTTATTTAAATCAGTATGACGTAGTTACAGATTTTAACAATAGGATTGTTAATCTGTCTTTGCTGGCCATGAAATTTTTTAGCAAGATTGTAATAATACACTTTTAATTGAACCACACCCAGTTCTTCATGGACGTAGTTATTACGAATGTACCACTCGACACTTGTAATCTATTGTAGAACACTATTTTAACATAATTCTAATTTTTTACGATTAGTTTTACAGGCATATGCCTAAACTGGACTTATAATAGAGCAAGAGATTTAGAATGGATTTATAAATGAGTAACTTCTTATCTACAGATAAAACAACGTTTCAAGCAATTAAGGGGAAAAGTCGAGCTTTATGCACCCAACTTCTAAATTAATTGATGTGATATGTGGGGGCCATGTGAGAGCATTATTGAGGATCACCCCAAGATAAAAGACCTGCTTGGTCCAGGGAAAGAGGTGCCACAGAACTTGAGATTTTTAGTCAAAGGGGGTTTGTCCCTGAAAGACTATTGTTTTTGTTTTGCGTTGAATCACTATAAATAAAAAAATACACAAAATAAAATAAAATGAGCCAAAATATAGTGAGTACATAGAATTTACATATTCCAAGTATTAAGAATAGCCAGAGACCTACTGATGTTATTTAAATCAGTATGACGTAGTTACAGATTTTAATATCAGGATTGTTAATCTGTCTTTGCTGCTCATGAAATTTTTTAGCAAGATTGTAATAATACACTCTTAATTGAACCACACCCGGTTCTTCAGGAATGTGAACCAGTTCTTCAGTGCCATAGAACTTGAGATTTTTAGTCAAAGGGGATTTGTCCCTGAAGGACTATTGTTTTCGTTTCGTGTTGAGTCAGTATAAATAAAAGATATACAAAATAAAATACTTTCATTTTCAAACTGTTACCATCAAATGTTAGAGTCCTACATTATATTTGAAGAAACTAAATAATGAAAAATCTCCATAAATGTATGCATATTTTTCGCATTGTGATAAAATAATGGTACATACAGCCATCGGCATTTTGAATGGCGTAATTCTCCTACGAATATGGGCATGTGGAAGACCAAATTTGAAATTTGGAGTTTGTTTTATTATTGATTTCATATTTTGTAAAACTTTAACGAATTTTTGATTAACAAACTCAAGAATTTCATGCAACGGCAACACTCTACGGGGGGGGGGGGACCTTTTTATCTCCAGCGCGTGAAACTGTGCATCGGAAATTCTAAAGATATGCTCATTTTAAAATTATTTTGAGACATTGCTATTGAACTGAATTTTACGGTTTAAGTACAAAGAACGTGATATTTAATAAATAAAGGTAACACCAGGGTTGCTACTCAAACAGGAGAATGAAATTCCCTGACTTTTCCAGGTTTTCCATGTATGTTTTGAGAAAATTCCAGTCTATTCACGTAATGTTCGTTGGCTGTGCTAAGAGGTAAATTAATTATGGTATTACCTGTACTGTGTAGCAAATTCACTTAATTATTCAATAAATCCCAGAGGACATTTATTCTTAATTATTCATGGTACACTTTGTTTGATAATTTTACTTTTCCACTTAAGAAACTTAATAAAATTTAAAATATATACATTGGATAACAATTGTATGTTTTACTTAATTATTACTCATGATCATCACCAGTTCAACATGAGGCTAATCCGGTTCTTATAAATCACAACGCAATGCTAAAAGTTAGGTTAGATTTTAGGTAAATTTAATTTGTGTGAGGTGTCTTTTTATATTTTTTCTTTTTAAAAGGCACCTTAACACTTGAAAAACACAAATATAATTATAATAGGAGTTGTTTTCTCCACTGAAGATTGAGATTAGAATCTGCCCAATCTGGAATAAAATAAGGCTTTTTTTGCAGATATTCTGCAGCTAAATGAAAGAAAGAAATCTATTTAATGATATGTTTTTACTAAATTGAGGTATTTTATATTTATTTTGCAGCATACATAAGGAAAAAATATGTGCATTAAATTTGGTGATGTCATCATACTGCTAGAATTAATTTCAGGATTATGCCAGAGAAAATTTCCTGAAATTTGGAAATATTATTTACTAATGATAAATAAATTTAGAGGGAAGAAGCAACATTAAATGATATGAATAACATAAAAATGAAGATAATTACTTAAAAATTGAATTAGAATAATCAACGATATTTTAGCAAATATAGTTAACCTAGATGACTGATTACTATTTTTTTATTTTACTGCAAAATGACAAGGTATTTATTAAAAAGAAAAGAAACAAAAAAAGATTTTGCGGTAAAATCCTAGTACAGTCAAAAGTCTTTAATCCGGACTCGTCGGGACTTCGATTCCGGATTATCGATTTTTCCGAATTATAGATTATCAGTTTAAATCTGGTAAGATGGCATGCAGAAATTATAAAATTAAAAATATGAAACTGTAATTTATAAAATAATGAGCAATTATGATCTAAAGGGTATCAAAATTTACAAAAAAAAGAAGCTTAATATTTATTTGTTTACTTTATTAAATATTTCTTTCAACGAGCGCATGCGTAAGGCATACTTTACGCATAGCCAAAATTAGAAAATTGCAACCAGAAAACTATTTGATTTCTATTTGTGATATTTATAATGATGAGGAATTTGATTTAAATCATATCAAAGACGGAGTACATCGAGATTAAATACTACATTTAGTAAGGAATTATAAGCCGAATAAAATAAGAACATCTGCCCTGAAGATAAGGAGAGTGCTGACAGATCAACTTCCAGTTCATTGGGCGCCGCGACATGTTCTGTTACCTTCCTTACCTTCCTTCTGCTACTTATACTTTCAAACACTGCTAGTTCACTTTTTTTTTTTTAAATAGTGCTGTCATGTATGCTGTTTGTTAGGTTATTAATTCATTTTAGATATTAACATGAGAATTTTTTTTTTTAAATAGTGCTGTCATGTATGCTGTTTGTTAGGTTATTAATTCATTTTAGATATTAACATGAGAATTTTTTTTTTTTTTTTGTTATTAGATTTAGGTATATTCTTGTATGAAATATTTTTGATCACATTTATTAGCTACTTTATACAGTCTTTCATTTGCATATCTTGGAGGTATAGAAGTTAGTGGTTATACTTTTTAATATGAAACGCTGGATCATTGTATGAAATTCCCCGACTTTTCCAGATTTTGACTGAAACACTTAAATTCCCTGACTTTTCCCTGAATTGTTTGGTCAATTTCCAAATTCCCTGACTTTTTTCCAGGTAGCGTGGCAACCCTCTAACACACAAAACGTTAAAAAAATGCCACTTTGGACATAATTTAAAATCTGAAACCTTTCAGATTTTTTTTTTTTATATATTTTTAATTAATATTCTTTCTTTTCGTCTTTCTGATGAAGAGGACGGCTTGCATCTTATCAACCTTGACTTGGATCTTCCATCTAGCTAGCCAAGACTCTAATGTATGTACGTAGTTTTGTTATCATTGGATGGCTGGACCTATAACCTCCTCTTGCTGAAAAACAGGTCCCATAATTGTAACAGCATAAGCAGTACAACAGTTCATAAGATACTGGCAATGAATCATTTAGTCACCAAGCTGCAACAGACGACTAAACGTGACCAGGGATACAGCTTGAATTCAATAAATTTCTTTCTTTGCAAATATCATACTTCCATGATGTTGTTGATTTTGAGGAATTAATGGCAGATATTACAACAAATATCACTGCTGAAGTCCACTGAATAACAGACAGCTAAGTTGTCAGTGAGTTTATGGCAATTCTCAGTACATATGATTTAACCCAGTAAAAAATCTTCTAAGCCACTATAACTCTCATGATGCCAAATGGATGCCCTACTGAAACTACTAGTTACAATATTTGAATATCTCATCACTCTATTCCATGCATCACGGAGTTCATTGATATTATTAATTGTTTTCTTGTAAGTTGGTGATGTGAAACCTTTAAATTCATTCCATTAGTGGCACTTCCTATATAGGAGTTCTCAGAAAGTTCTTTTTTCTAATACTCCTTCAGAAGCAACTGCAACTGGCACAAAGGACGAGTAATGCTTCTCATATTTGACACATGCTGTACATTTCTTGCATGCTTTATATCTACTCTGTCTGCCGAATGAATAACTTTACAACTTCTACCATTTGCATGTCTGAAAAGTATTTACATGTTAAGCTTTGTAACTGTCAGATTTTCTAAGAGTACAGATACTCTTTTGTCAAATTCATATACAACTATAAAGTAAGGCATAAAATAGCATATCTATTACCTGTTTCCCCAATCTATTTTCCCTGTTATTTGGCATTTTAGCTCTCTTATTTGATCCTGAGTGAGTGTTCCAGTAATAAGCTGTCTCCGCCATTCTATGAGATCTCGCATCACAGTTAGTAATCGATTAAATAAGGATACTTCTCGGCGCTGTAAAAAAGTGCAAAGCAAGTAAAAGTTCAAAAGCATTATTTCATTAATAATGAAAAAAAAACTAATGCATTTCAATTTCATTATGTGATAAAAATGTTTTTAATCTGATGAATGCACAAGTGTAATAAAAAGAAAGCATTTTAGATTTAGGGAAAATACCTAATCAAAATACAAAATGCACCAAGAAGCAGTAACAAAAATCAAATTTATTCAAACTTGTTCTGAGACATCTAAATGGCTTCTAAAGTTCTAATCATGTTAAAAAACAATCATATGAATTTATAGGAACTTAAATGCAGTTATTTCACAGTGAACCCTTGAAACTCATACCTCATGATTTAATGATATAACCAGGACCATCCCTAGGCAGCTAGCTCAGGTGCTGAGTTTTGAAGGGTACTAGCTAAGTTTTCCTTGTAAATGACAGTTAAATAAAGGTACATTTTAGTCTGAATTATTAATATTTTCAATTTATATACAGGATATCAATTACACTGACTGGCTAATGTGCAAAAAATTCTGGAGCTGCCTATAACTATGCATCTCACATATAATATGCACTATTTAGAAGACCTAGAAAAATTAATCATCCTTGAACAAAATCTAGAACTTGAATTAAGAAGGTCTTCAAATCTTTTCAACTTTGTGTAAACTCCCAACAGCACTTAAAAGTCTATATTGTGTTTTTATAGACACAAATAAATGCATTTAAAATTAATGCTGCAATACTTTTTAGACATATGGTTATTTTATGTTTAGCTGTGACAGCTGGCATCACGTAGTTTTGCAAAGTCTGCATATGCCACCAGCTGCCAACACATTGTCTTTACTCTCTGTTTTAAAAGGTTTGAGTATTGTGCATAGTTTCTGTGTTTTTATGAATAAGATGAGTTAATAAATTTGACTGTTTTAGTAACATGGAGTTATAACTTGTAAGGACTAGCATATCAAAGCACACATAAATTGCTTATAGTGGCATGGAGATTCAAATTCAATCCAAAGTTTGGCTATTTCAAGACCTTTGTTTCCTTTGCTTCAACCACTACCATGGAGGAAAGAGTAGTGGTAAAGACACTGATCTACAATCCTCCTAATACTGCATTGTAGTTTGCTAAGTGTGAATCAACTTTAGGTTGGGGTACTCTCTGGACAAAGGTTGAATCTTTGTTCACTAGCATTCCATGACTTCAGTGTTCAGAGGCTTTGTTTGAAGAAGCGACATATATGGATTGAATCAAAAGCATACATCACAGAGCTTGGCTTAGAGTATAGAACCTCAGGCCATGATACAGAAGAAGAAATCTCTACCATTAATGCAAAAAGGTTCCTGTGTGCTACATTCAAGAATCCCGACTCTTTTAAATTTTGTGAGCACTGAACGGTTCTGTGGATGCCCCATACCCTCCTCCAGCATCTGTATGCTAATGAGGAGGAATGACTTATTGCTATATTTTGAGCCCATTGTGTTGAGATAGTTGATTGTTGCATTAGTGGAATATGTTCAGCTCTGTTTGGTGGGCATGGCTGATTGGGCTCACTGAACATTTGTGGAGCGAGTCGCATAGCTCTTCAGTTTCTTTCCCAGGCAGGCAGGTGGAGGATGTGCATGTTCATGTCAAACAGGAGGAGCACCACTGTGGCATCACAGGTCAAGGTTGATTATGAGTTACAAATGTGTGATGCTTTTGGTGTTCCTATTGGAGGCTTTTTGCCTATGGAGACATCTATGCATCGAATTAGAAGTATGGTGCACGAGACCTCGGTGGCTTGAAGTATAGAACTTGAGGCTATGATGTGGAAGCTGAATTCTCTACAACTGGTTCAAAAGAGATGATGTGTGCTAATTCAAGAATTCCGACTCTTTCAAATTTTGGGAGTGTTGAGTGGTATGTGGACACTGCAAGCTATACCAAAGCCTATTACAGATCTCAAGACAGAATTCAACTATTGCATCACTCATTTGCCACTATAATACTTTTGATTTGCTTCAAGACATCATACTTCAGGTGCACACTGATGTTTCTTATCAAGATCTTAAAATTTCCATTATTGAGCATTTTGGGGACAGTAGAATCCAGGAAATATGGAAAATACTTGCCGAGGAGCAAGTGGAAGACAAAAAAAAAAAAAAAAAAACCGAATTGCTTGATGTCATTAAAAGGCAGTGTGAAGAACACAATATATCTGACTCATTGTTACTGGAGTTGTTTCTTTAACAAATGACACCAAAAATTCAATTTATTGAGTTTCTTGAACTGTTTGATTCTCTGAAAGCCGCCAGCATTCCCAAGTAGCACACAACATTGCAAACTGGTACGAGAGGTTGCAAAGTAGTCGTGGTAACTTTTATGACATCTTTACAACATTGCAAAGATGCAAAATATTTGCCGTTGCATCTTGGCAATTTGTCGACCTCACTGAAAAGTCATGATATGAGCACTTTTAGACATGGTCGTTTTAGCATCTTTTTCATAGTTCATCAGCGTTACTTTTAGAATGAAAAGAGACTAAATCTGCCCTTTCAAGAATCTGAAGTCTGCATAAGATTTACTTTGCAATATTCAATTACTTTATTTCATCTAAATATATTAATCTAAGGTACATTCATCTAATGAAATATAAATTTAATACTTTTGATTTATTAAATTTAATTACTATTAAAATATGTGCTAAATTATTGTTTAAAATTTTCTTAAAATAATTAATACTTAAAACATTTTTTATAAATATTGCAGCAAAATATTTCAAAATGAAACTAATCCATAAAGTAAGTTATTAAGTTGTGCATTTTATCTATTTTAAAAAATCATATTTCCGAAATCAATGCAAAATCACGTTAGCAATTATTTCACTACTGAAATATGATCTTATTTATTATTTTAGAAGTAAAGACGAATTTATTTGAATTAATATGGTGACATAATATGAAACATTTTACCGCATACAGTGCAAAATGTACAATTTTCGTGAACATATGATTATGAAGATGGATAAAAATGGGCCGATTTTAAGAATTCCGAGAAAATGCCCAATGTTAAAAGACGATGCATATCCATGCATATTTAATGGCTGTCCAATATATATGACGGAAAACTCACCGACAGTCAGGAGAAGCAGGACAGAAAAAGAGAAAGAAATACAGTCAAAAGACTTTAATCCGGACTCGTCGGGACTTCGGCAATTCCTGATTATCGATTTTTCTGGATTATAGATCATCAGTTTAAATCTGGTAAGATGGCATGCAGAAACTATAAAATTAAAATATGAAACCGTAATTCATGAAATAAAGAGCAATTATAATCTAAAGGGTATATCAAAATTTACAAAACAAAAGCTTAATATTTATTTGTTTACTTTATTAAACATTTCTTTCAACGTGCGCATGCATAAAGCATACATTACGCATAGTCGAAATTAGAAAATCACAACCAGAAAACCATTTGATGTGTACTCGTGATATTTATAATGACGAGGAATTTGATTTAAATCATATCAAAGACGGAATACATCGAGATGAAATACTACATTTAGTAAGGAATTATAAGCCGAATAAAATAAGAACATCTGCCCTGAAGATAAGGAGAGTGCTGACAGATCAACTTCCAGTTCATTGGGCACCGCGGCATGTTCTGTTACCTTCCTTCTGCTACTTATACTTTCAAACACTGCTAGTTCATGGTTTTTTTTTTTTTTTTTTTTTTTAAATAGTGCTGTCATGTATGCTGTTTGTTGGATTATTAATTCATTTTAAATATTAACAAGAGAATTTTTTTTGGTTATTAGATTTAGGTATATTCCTGTATGAAATATTTTTGATCACATTTATTAACTACTTTATACAGTCTTTCATTTGCATATCTTGGAGGTATAGAAGTTAGTGGTTATACTTTTTAATATGAAACGCACATAAATTTATACTTGAGTTCAAGTAAAATACTGATTATGTTACCTTAAGAACCATTTCCTAATTTACTATGATAGGGGCAATTTTCAATGCCTCTGAGATTTAACAGAAATAAATGTTATAATGCTGTTATAATCAAAAATACTCTTTTTTCTTTAACCCACATATATATATTTACTTTTATTCATGTCTGATTGAGTTTTATTTGCTGAAAACCTACTACAGTACAAAGTCCAAAATCCAGATGCTCATTATCCAAAAAAATCTAAAATCCGGACCTCAAGGCTACAAACATTTTTTTTTTTTTTTTTTTTTTTTTTTAATTTTTCCTTCCATAATAAAACATACCAAGATTTTCACTTAAAAATTCCGATTCTTACTTTCACTTACACACTAAATAAAACACCTCGTTATGGATAAACAAGCATAAATTTTCACGTAAGCATAAATTTTGAGATTAATATTTTGGCTCCATAGCTGAGTGTCTGCTTGGCATATATCTCAAACCGAAACATTCACCTATTTTATATCCCTAACACTGAACTTACGAGTCAAAATGTATTATATTTTGCTTTCATCACTGCATGTTTATCAATACATGTCAGGTTCAGCAATTATTTATGCAGTGATGTCTAAACTTTTTTTTATTTTAGTAATTGAATAATAAGAGTATGGCAACCTTTTATACTAACATTACGCTTGGCGATGATTATAAATTTTTAAATGCTCTAAGAAATGTTGACAAAGAAAAATTAAACAAAAATTTCTTTTCATATGCTAAAAATAGATTTTGTTAATGAAACTCATAGGCCAAAGATAACATTTAGTGCTATTTTAATTAAGAATAAACCCAGATGCAGCGGCAGAATATGTCGGCACCGGACGGCAGAATTTAGGGAAGACAAAACTTTTGGAATTTGGGGAAGCACCGAGCGGCAAAATTGAGGGATGAGAATTTTTTTATAATGCAAACTTTTCGTAATCGGAAAACATGCGAGAGCTTGAGCATTTGAAGGAGAAACGATTTTCTCTGTTATATATCGTGCAAATAAAAGAGCATGGATGATGCAAGCATTAATGAATAATTGGTTTG